ATTTGTTTACGGAAGACAGGAACCTAACTTGTGCTTTAATGAGGGAACTTGTTTACAAACCAGCATAGTCCACGCTTCGTTTGGCTGATTTCATTCCTTTGGAAGTTATCTCGAGTGCCTTTGGATATCTGCCCTATTGTGGTAATTCAGTGCTAGAAAATCTTTGTTACACATCTCTTTTCTCCCGGGAACCATTCCATCTCTAGACAGTGGAGGGTTACTAACTGTAGGCATTCATGGACACATAAGTTATTAGTCTTAGTCTATTTGCAATATTTGGGACTAAGTTTGAACCTGTTTACTGTGGATGTGCACTGTTATACAGATCAGACTTGAACCGCAGTTTGCGCACAATTTCTTTGCCAGAAGGCCGTTCCATGTCCCCTTTGACTCCGAAACATGAGCAAGCAAGCCAAGAATACGGTAATAAATCCGAATTTTTGGGGTAGATTCCATTTTCAAAAAAACAATCCCTTTTGCTATTTGACCACACACTATAGATATATTTCTTTACTATTATGTTACATTGTTCAGATTGTGATTTAAATCCTATTCAAGGATACTTTTGCTGTTTCACAGGTGATCACATTTTGAAAAATGGGCAGCCTTACACTCAATGCCCGAGTACATCAACATCCAGTCAGCAATTTTTTTTAAGACTATAGATACCTCTTGCTCTAACATATGTTTGTCTGCTGAGGTCGCCTTACGTACAACTTTGCGTGCACTCGTTCTAGGCTTTATGATGCAAGTACTGAAGTCACTACACATCATGAGACAAACCCAACAACACCAATCTGAGCAGCTGATGATGATCACCGACATGTTACACCATGTGGATGGGCCACCCGCTGAACCTCTAAGCTTTGTACAGTTCGAGACCCTACAGGAATTCCTTGCCTTTGAAAAAAAGTTGACGGCATGCGAACAAAAAAAAGGGTCCATCTGGTTAGTTCATGTTTGAGATGCACTTTTTTTATAGGGATGATAAATTCATACTACTTTTTGTAGGGCCTCTGAGGCCTTCATACACCCTCCTGCAGTAGAGGCGACCCATTCTCACATCCAGCAAGTTTACATTTACTATATTTGGTATTTTATTTCAGAAGCAGCAGATGCAAATAATTGGGGGTGATGATGCAAAAGATAAAACTCACAGAATTCTTCGCAAAATGCTGTGCCACGAAGTAGGGGCAGCCTTCACATGGTATGGGACCAAGACAAAGGGAAAGTTTTCTAGTCTACGGTTCTGCAAGGTGACGTGTGGTATGTACCTATGCAGTGTAATGGTATCATTCATGATTTTTACTTTGTGTGTGTGGAATGTTTATGAGAAACTCATTTACAATTGGGTTAATTTCATTTCCTGTTGGTTCTAATTAATAAAAACATTTTATAAGACATGGTGCTGCAGCTAAGTAACAGATCTGCTTCTGCTAGATTTTAACCCTAAAATATTTTACAGCTTGCATTACAGCAAACAAGCCAAAGGAGGTGGCTGTTGGTGCCCTGAAGGAAGTTGAAGCCTCTACAATGTCATGGCTGCACCATGCCCAGGAGAGGCTTCAGAAGCATTGCAATAAGTAAGCTTATTCATTTTTTGTTCAGCTGAGGTTGCAATGATAAGGCTCATGAAATTAAACGTTGCATGTCCAACTCGGAAATATATGGCCGCGGTTCGGAACATATTAAAGAATGGAGCATACCACTCTCACATGAACTGCATTTGCTTTGGATGAGGTGCCTACCTGAGGAGCTATAAACATGGTCGCACTAGAATAATTAATAATTTAAGCAGACATTAAATAAGGCAGTTTCAACAGGGAATCCAGCTTATCAGCTTGTTCTTCTATCTTCTAGTGATCGATATGGAAGAACTAGGGGAGGATCTGTGAAAGCAAGATGGCCTGAAAGCTACAGGATAATCTGCAAGAGCCTGGAAATGGTCTGTGCAAATAAAATAGATGTTACCTTTTCTTAGATTGGAGTTGCCCCTTTGTTAACGAGAACCTCATCTGGTGTCTTGCAAAAGGGCCGTCTTCACATGCAGTTTGTTTTACATTCTAGTAAACAGCAGGCGTCACTCATTTTGTTAAATGAATACTTGAGGATCAGTATATCATACATGTAATGATGCTGTTTTTCAGGGGTCTTTGGTTACATACTCAGTAAAAACCGCATTTACAGCTGTAAGGCTGCAAGAGACCCCAGTTGTCATGCCTCGTAAAACTCTTAAAGGACCCATGCAAAGGAAAAAAAACTGTTTTAAACAGCTTAGATGGAAAAAGGATGTCATAAAACAATATTAGAACGAAGAAAAAAATTTAGAGCTATATTTACGGCATTATACGAACTTGTAGTTGGCGCCCGCCGGCGCCACGGAAAAGTGGCCCTTATTTATCACGTGACTGGCCCTTACTTATCACGTGGTGCTTGAACTCCTTCGGAAGCTTCGTATGGCGTCTAAAAGTAACTTATTCATCTTTGTTTGAAATATAACAAAAAACTAAGATTAATAGGTAACTTTTAGAGCCCAAAGGAAACTCCTGAAAAAGCGCAAGCAGACGTGATAGACCTGTGCGCCGGTCAGATGACGGCGGCGGCGCCCCGAAGCAGACGAACTTGTGCGGCGGTGGCGATGGCGGCGTGGAGAAACGCGTTGAAGCGGTGTTCGCACAACGCTCAGCGTGCGGCGGCAGCGTGACTTTGCGGCGGCGGCGCGCGGGCCTACCACATGACCAGCGGCGGCTTCCGCGGGCGCCAACCACAAATTCGTATAGCGCTGTAAATATAGCTCTGAATTTTTTTTTTCTTCGTTGTAAAATCGTTTTATGACATCCTTTTGGCATCTAAGCTGTTTAAAAAGTTTTTCCTTTGCATGTGTTCCTTAACACTTGCCATAGTGAGATTTATTTCCCTTCAGAACGGCACATGTCATGTCTCCCTTACACCAGAACGTAGAATGCGCATCGCCTGTGTTGGCGGCTCGTAACACTGGCTCCAGTGGTTTCGAGTAAATTCGAATGGCATCCGCAAACCAGAATGAGCTGTCTTGTGCAAGTCCCATAGCCATCCAATGTGGGATAATACCTCCCAAAGATAATACCTCGCACTCTCACATCCCGTGAGAGTGCGAAGAAATGTCCACAAGGCCTCCGTGGGAACCTCCCGTGCCATTGTTTCCAGTGCCATTTGGGACGTCTACGGGAAGTTTAAGGGGGGAATCTGGGATATCCCTGGGGATGCCGCTGCCATCCCGGTGGGACTTCCGTAGGACGACCCTGGGATACATTTCTGTTGTCTGGGACGTTCTAACATTTTCGTCGCCCGAGTGAGCAGAGTTTGTTAGGGCTGGTACGCTCAAACAGCGAATTCGTCTATGTGGGCTGAGAATCGGATCTCTTGTTGATTTGTCACGGCTAAAATGGCATCTGCTTTTATCATCAGCTTGAAAAATAATGCACGTGGCGAGATTGATGCTCTCGGTAAATTCGTGAAGTGTTCTTGGACGGCGTATTACTTTTCTCGTATTTAACCCTGCGAGTCTCACCTTTTGGAATATAAAAGTAAATAAAGCTTGGGTCCATATAAAAAAAAAAAAGCGTCTGTCTGTTGATTTGCTGTTGTTGAGCCACAAAAGGACAACGCGCCTCTAGAAGGCACGGTAACAAATGTGATGGCGGCCGAGATCGGCCATCTGCTACAGCCGTGCTTTTCAATCTCACATCCAAGTGTCCGGGGGTAGGCCACTCCAGGAGAAGAGGTCGTCTTCAGCTGGTAGATCCAGAGGTGGGGCTCCTCGCGAGATTCGCATGCTCCGTCGCGGATTTTGGTCGTCGCCCCAAAACGACTGGTGGAATTCCCCATATGTTATTGTTAAACATATTTTGCATATTTAAAATTGAGATTTTGCTTAGACTAGGTACTCAAAGAGAAGGTTTTACCAACCACACTAACCTTGGCTGTTGGCGGGTTGCGCTTTCGAACAATGGCCTTGCCCAGGAAGATTTTCTGCCCACAAACAAGATGACCCCGCAGGTTTTTGCAAGAGGTGAGGAATGTCAACCAGGAAGTACAGGCGTCATTCCTTGTCGCATGGATGAGGGCAAAAGATATTCGACCTTCCACACTTGGTTGCCATTATGCCACAAACGTCCATATTGCCTGGTTTCCTGGTCCCACGTCAGTAAAAATGGCATCCACTTTGATATCAATCTTTTCGCTTCGTGTGATGATGTCAAACAAGGTGTCCTGCAGAGTCGTGGCACAGAATGATGTGGTCGCGGCACCGCGGAAAGGCAATAGCCCGTAGCATGAAGGCCAGCGGTGCCACGTCTAATAAACATGATAAAGCGATGAGTATACACAAACAAGACAACAACAAGATGGATTGTTGTTACTGCGGAGGATGGCAGTCCGATTTGGAGATGTCCAGATTTCGTTGAGGCAGGTCAGCAGCGAGCTATGGGGAACTCGCACGCCGCTCGATCGGTGCATGTAGCACAAAGGCGCCCCAGGAGCATGGTGGTGCTGTCGCTCACTGGGGTCGAAGCATCAGGTTCCAAGGCCCAGGGCTCAGACTGAGGCACTGCCGCTGCCCGGTGTGTCGTCCTTTCAACGAAATTTGATGTGCTCCATTCATTGCTGTAGTGTTCTAAGAGCAGGCAAAGGGCCCAAGTTTTTTTTTAATGTGCTTATATATAGCCTTTGCTTCCACACACCACTTTCGCAGCTAAAGCCTTCTGAAGTGTTGCGTCGAACCAGGAGCTTCCCCTCACTGTTCCTTTCTCCAAAGCTCTAATCTCATCAGGAGCAAAGATACGACTAATAGACTCCTGGAGCTTGCCTCTTTCTTTTTCCGTTGTTCGACGTTTCTTTTGCTTGTGGTTCAACATCAGCTCAAGCTTGTTTTCTCGATTCAAACCACGTTCATGCGTCCCAAAAGTTACTGCTTGACATCTGTCACAATATGCTATTGTAGGTGTTTCAGTTGACCTCCGCTAGGTGGTCAGTGGCGGCAGCGCGGTAAACAAACCCCGCAATAAACGTGGCTGACGAGCACATGTGTGGTTCCTTGGCAGAGTAGACAAACAATGAACAACGTCCATCAGAACTTTCTGCAGCTTTTTCTGCTTGAGGTGCATCCCAAGATTCTGCAACATCATCTGCAACAGGGAAAGAATAAATTGAGAACACATAAGCAAGTAGAAAAGTAAGCCTACAAAAAGGCGAACAGTATACCTGAAAGAATTAGTTAGCATGAGGACGTCTGCACCATTGTAAAAAAAAAACAAAAAAAAATTGTTAAATAAGAGGTGAATCTATTAAAGGCCTAAATACCAGGCCAAAATAAAAGCTTGGCTACGGCGCTGAATATGAGAGATCAGCAAGATAATTTTTTAAACAGGTGATCCGCCTAGGTGATGGCACGAAAATGGGAAGGAGGTGACCACTTCCATGGGATTGTGTCCCTGTTAGTCATGTTTCTCAGCTTATATGTACTGCAGGTGACATACAACAATGCACAATAAGTAGAGACACTGACACCGCCCCCCCCCCCCCCCCAAAAGAAAAAAAGCCTTTTATTTTTTTTTTTTTGTTGTTGTGCCAGGCAATTTATTATGGTATCAGAAGACTACCCAAATAATATTTTGCAACTGCTCGAAACCAAAACCGAACTGGGCAGGAAGAAGAAATATAGAGGAGGAGAAAGTTACCGGAAGTCACGTGGCTGTGCAACATTTGTTTTTCCAGTCAATGTATTTGCAGCTTTTAGAAGCTTAGAAGCCACAAAAACATGGGTATCATATTTTATGTCCATTTTTAGTATTGAGTGTGTGCCTCCGATGACTCGTGACTTTGATTATGTTTGGTGGTCGTGTCTAAACTACAGAAAACGACACGTGACCACAAAGAAGAGTGTGAGCGTGATTCAAACCGGCCAGTTCTCGATGGGAGGTTTTCAGGCGGAAAGAAAACAAATTTCGAGCAGCAAATTGTGTTCTGGGTAGTTGGGCTTTCACATGTCAAGTACAAATAAAAACCTTCACAAGCACAAACACCATGTCAGTGTCCATCTAATACCTGCTTTTTCACTCTTTATAAATGTAGTAGACCCGAGTCAAGGGGTGTACTGAGGGTTTATTCCAATACAGCAGGTCAGAGGGACATGACTAGCTGCCAAGATTCCAACTCGCCGAAGAACGGAATGCACGAGCTCCCGTGTCCGAGCTCGTGCTCTGCTGACAAAGAAGACGATGATCTTTTGCAATCACCACATTTCCTTCCCTCTTAAGAAGGCTTGTAACGGTCCGGCTTGAGGCGGCTGCGGGTCGGGTATCTCCTACTGGAGTCTGGCTGCAATGGAGACCCCGAAGTAACTTGTGTGTCGGTGGCCTCCTGCTGGGTGTAAACCTGAGAAGGCCCTGGCACATCCATTGGGAATATTGAAGTGTCGGGATCGTCATATGTCAACCTTGGTTTCAGGTGATCTGCATGGACCCGACGGGTTTTGTGATCTTCATCCGAAACTTCGTAGATGACGTTGCCAATTATTTTTGTGACAACGCCCTTTATCCAGTGTTGTTTGTGGAGAGGATGTTTTACCCACACTTTCTGCTTGATTGTGAAGGTAGCGGTTCCCTTGTCTTTCTTTGCCGTTTTGGCATGGGTCCGTACCTTGGAAGGCTTCAGTAAGTCGAGAACCGTCCGGTAGGGCCTGCTCGTGAGCAGTTGACACGGGGGTTTTCCCGTTGAGGTGTGGGGGGTGATCCGGTACTTGAGCAAGAAGTCTCGGATGGCTGCCTTCCTCTCTTCTCCAGAGGAACGTCGAAGAGCAGTCTTCAATGTCTTTACAAAACTCTCGGCTTGTCCGTTGGACTTGGGGTGATACGGTGGGGTAAAGAGATGAGTAATTCCGCCGCTGTCCATGAATTCTTTAAATTCCGAGCTGATGAACTGTCGCCCATTATCGGTGACAAGTTGTTGTGGCAGGCCTTGACGAGAGAAAATCTCCTGCAAAGCGTCGATGGTATCTGCCGCTGTTATAGATTTCATCGGCATAACCTCAGGCCATTTGCTGAACGCATCTATGACGATGAGATAGCTTTGCTGATCTAGCTGTGCAAAGTCAGCATGAAGTCTCTGCCACGGCAGTTCCGGAGCTTCCCAGCGGTGAAGAGGAACGTGTGGTTTGTTGTTGCAAACACTGCTGCAGACCTCACATTGCTGCGTCGTGCGCTCAATATCTCTGTCGATGTGTGGCCACCACACGTACGACCGTGCCAACATCTTCATTTTTGTTTGACCCACGTGTCCTTCATGAAGAAGTTCCATTACTTGGTGCTGGAATTTGCGTGGAACTACGGTTCGCGAATTCCATAGGATGCAACCGTTGAGGATGGCTAATTCCGATCTCTGTCTATGGAATGGCGTGAGGTCGGAGTCCGTCACCTTTTCTGGCCAGCCCTGACTGATGTACCGTTGTACTTGGGAGAGGACAGAATCTGACGCAGTTTCCGTGGCAATGTCCTTTGCCTTCACTGGTAACTTAGACAAACTCTGGGTGTGAAGCGCAAAGACATGTTCTGTATCACAGGAGATGGTGAAAACTCCGCTTGCCATTTCCTTGTCGAAGTCCTCGTCGGGACATTGTGCGAAACGCGAAAGTCCATCAGCGTTTCCGAAGTTTGCTGTTGGCACGTACTCAATTGTGTAGCTGTAGTTCATTAGTATAAGGGCCCAACGCTGGAGTCTGTTTGCCGATGTCACGGGGATTCCCTTCATGGGGCCAAATATGGTTGTCAGAGGTTTGTGGTCAGTATAGAGCACAAACTTGCGTCCCCAAAGGTACTGGTGAAATTTGCGGACTCCAAAGATGATGGCAAGTGCTTCCTTCTCTATTTGTGCATAAGCACACTCTGACGAATTCAGTGTCTTAGAAACATGTGCTATGGGGCGTTCCTTGCCATTGATCTTGTGATATATCACCGCGCCCACGCCTTCTGACGATGCATCCGCCGCGAGGTAAAATGGCAGATGAGGGTTGAAGTGGACTAGGGCCTCCGTAGCCGTCAGCTGTTGTTTGATGTTTTCAAACGCATCTACGCACTCGGAGCTCCATTGCCAGGCGGTGTCTTTTCTCAGTAGCTTGTTCAGTGGCGCACATTTGTCAGCAAGGTTCGGAAGGAACTTGCCGTAATGCTGCACCATGCCGAGGAGACATCTTAGCTGGCTGATGTTCTTGGGCTCTGGCATATTCAGGATAGCCGAGACCTTTTTCATGGAAGGCGTGAAGCCATCGGCGGAAACGACTTGCCCGAGGTACTCGACCTTTTCTTGAAGAAAGGCGCATTTTTCCCTCTTGAGCGTGAAGCCGTATTCCTCTAGCCGCTGGAGCACTTGTTGAAGATTTTTGAGGTGTTCAGGAGTATCTCTCCCAGTGACAATGATATCATCGAGGTAACAGGCAACGCCTTCGAGCCCTGCAGTTACCTGGTCCATCGTGCGCTGGAACACTGCTGGGGCGGAGGCGACTCCAAACGGCATCCGGTTGAATCGAAACAGACCTTTGTGCGTGTTGATCACGAGAGCCGTTCTTGCCTCTTCATCGAGTTCCAGCTGGAGATACGCTTCTGACAAGTCCTGCTTCGTGAATTTTTTGCCTCCATTTAGTTTAGCGAAAAGTTATTCCGGACGTGGCAGTGGGTACTGGGTTATGTCGAGCTGAGGATTTACAGTGACACTGAAGTCACTACAGACTCGAACCGATCCATCCGACTTTGGGACGACCACAATTGGAGTGGCCCACTGCGAGAAGTCCACGGGTGTGAGAACGTTGTTGTTGACTTGCTTGGCCAAGTCTTTCTCTACTGCTTCTCGCGTAGCAAATGGTATTGGGCGGGGCTTGAAGAACTTTGGTTTCGCGTCAGGCTTGAACTGAAGTTGGACCTTGAGTTTAGTGCAACAGCCCAAGTCGCCGGAGAACAAGGTCGGAAATGTTGCCAACATTGTCTGAAGTGAGGCTTCTACTTCCAGTTCCACAGATCGAATAAACAATTTGTTGAGGTCGATCTGCAGCCTGTGTATCCACGTTCTTCCAAGCAGGTTGGTGTGTCGTTTGTCAGTCACCAATGCTTCTAGCTCTTCGGAGCGTTTTCCAAGCGTGACCTGAAGCAAGCACCGTCCCTGGACCGTGATTTTCTTCTGGTTGAAGCAGAAGAGGTTGTAGTCGCATTTTTGCAAGGTGGGCTTCCCTATCTTCCGCCACGTGTCAGTGTCTAGGAGTGTCAGCTTAGATCCTGTGTCGACCTGCAACCTTACGGGTGTTCCTTGAATAATGCAAGAGACAAATTCGCCATCTGATCCTGGAGTGACGAATACGTTGGTGATTGTTTTCACCTTTTCCTTTTTCTTGCCAGCTGTCTTGTGACGCTCCGCTGATCGACATACTTTTGCAATGTGGCCTCGTTTGCCGCATGCATTGCACGACTCAGTTCGGAAGCGGCAGGAACTCTCCGAATGGTTGGTGTTGCCGCATCGAAAACACTTGACTGGCGCAGAAGTGGACGGCTTCACTTTTTCAACGAGCAGCGCAGCGTGGTCTCCCCGGTCTAGGCGCCGGGACTCTGCTTCGGCGGTGAGGGTTGACTCGGCCAAGCGAAGTGCGACGTCCAGAGTGAGGTCCTTCTCGAGCACCAGACGTGCCCGGACGCGCGTGTCACGGAGACCCACGATGAATGCCGTCAAAAGGGACGAACTTCTGGCGTCGGCTTCAGATTCATAGTCGCAGTTAATGAGGATTGATCTAAGCCGCGTTATGAAGTCTTTGATTGTCTCATTTTCTTCCTGGCGAGCCGAAAACAACTTCGCCCGTTCGAATTCCTTGAATTTCTTAGGTGCGAAATGTTCTTCGAGCTTTTTGAGCAACTCTTGATACGGTGTCTCCAGAAAGCTCTGTGGCTGAATTAGGGAGTAGAGCAGCTTAAATGTCTTGGGACCAATTGAAGCGATCAATAAGTTTCTCTTGTCCGCCTCGGCAGTGATCTTAGCGACGTCGAGACAAGCTTGAAACCTTATCTGATAAAGCTTCCAGTTCTCCTTTTCGGCGTCGAATGTCCCGGGACTGTGGAAGCGGTGGGTCTGGTTCTCCACCATGCTCGCTGCTGCTCTGCCGTGCTCCCGTTAAGTCCGGTGTGGTCTTCACCTCGTCGCCAGTGTAGTAGACCCGAGTCAAGGGGTGTACTGAGGGTCTATTCCAAAACAGCAGGTCAGAGGGACATGACCAGCTGCCAAGATTCCAACTCGCCAGGAACGGAATGCACGAGCTCCCGTGTCCGAGCTCGTGCTCTGCTGACAAAGAAGACGATCTTTTGCAATCACCACAATAAGAAAAAGATAGAGAAAAATTTAGAAATCCGGAATCGTCAAGCAATTATGTTACTACCGGCAGTGAGGCCAGTCTTGGGTAAGTTAATTTTTAAAAGTAATTCGTTACAGTTACTTTCAGAAAAAAGTAGCAAAGTTACCGTTACAGTTACTGCAACAAAAGAGTAACTTGTTACAGTTACTTTTAAAATTAACAATTTTACTTTTCATTTACTTTTCTATAACACAAAAAGAAAAAATTAGGAAAAACTAGAAAACGCCTCTCACCAAGTTTTATCGCATAAAATTAAAAAGCATGCTTTTTACTTCATATTGTAACTTAGCAGAAATTGCTTCTCGAAATTAGTGTTTGAAAATTTCCACGCCAGAGTAGTCACGCAAATCAAAATACGAAACATGCGCAGTGCTCTCAGCGTGTATTGTTGTTTCACGGTTGATTCACCCGATTAAAAAGCGTTTTCATAGAAAAAAAAAAAACCACAACATAAATAGTGCTTCAGCACACTAAGATGTAAGCGTTCAGTCACAAAGTATAAGCGCATGCGTAAAGATAACTAGATTGTTTTTTTTTTGTGAAACCTACACGCGGCTATATTCGGGTCGTGACTCGCGAGAAAGAACGTATTCAAAAGTTTGTGCAAGGCCAACTTGACACTCGAAATGTCGGAATAGACGATTTGAAAAGCGCAAGGAATATCTAAATTGTACTCGTTCAGTGATATATTATTCATAAAACACCGGAAAGAAACGACACAAGTAACGTCGTTACTTTCATCGTTACCTCAGAAAAAAGTAATGGAACTACAGTTACAAGTTACATTTTAAAAAGTAACTCGTTACAGTTACAACTTACCAAAAAGTAACAAAATTACAGTAACGCGTTACTAGTAATGCGTTACTACCTAAGACTGAGTGAGGCTAAATAATTGCTTTAATGGTGTCTTCAGAACAAATATGATAATTCATATATTCACATAACATGCACACGGCAAGTTAATGTTATCACGAACAAGTAGGCATGTGCGAATATTCACCATTTTCGAATAACAAATCGAATATTACCCTATCCGATTCGTTAATTGAATCGAATAATAATTTTTAAAAGTTTTGAATATTTTTCGAATAATTTCCGCATGGTCGTTACGGTGTCGCGCCACGAGATTCCCTTCACAGGCGTCCCACAACGCTCCGGCACGCCTGCCATACGTGCCCGCAAGATGGCAATACGTACCCTCTTTTCCTAGACAATGATTATCATCATCGGCAGCAGCAGTTTCTCTCTATACGTACGTTGCTGTGGCCTCCATTAGGGACCACTGTGTTAAGTATAACCCGCATGAAAGCGATTCGGCAAGAGACGAGACCGGCGACGTAGACCCGCTTCGCTGTCGCTTGGTCAGTCTCGCGAAGAGGCAAGCCGCATGAAAGTTGCGTGAGCAAGCGACCAAGGCGATGAGGACGTTTTCTAGAAATCCAAACACCAAGCGACGCGACGAGCGACAGTGAGAAATCACCGTCGCTCGCTGCTGATTCTCATCGCTGTCGCTTGTCTCCCCGCTCGCTAAATCGCTGACATGCGGCTCGACCTTTGGGGACCGCTTTCGCACGAGACTGCTTGTGCACGCTTTCGGAAAGCACGTCGTGGAGTCGTTTCAGGAGTGGTTGCAACGGTACCGCCGCTCTGTATGAACGAAGTAGAAGTGGTAGAATCTGGAAGTTGTTCGAAGAGAAAGCGCAGTAGAGTGTAGAAGATTTTAGGCCGCTCCCATGCAACCAATCAAAGAAGCCACAACAGCTGCTTGTATCGAGTCTTTTCCAACACTTTCCATGGTTGTTCCACTTGTTCAGTGTGTGAGGATGTTGCTTTTTGAGGGCTCAAGTGGAACAAGACAATGCATTTTCCCTAAATCTTCTCAGATCAGTAAAAACAAGGTTCCTGGACGTAATCACACAGACACATCACGCGCTTGCCACCTTCCTTGATCCTCGATTCAAGGACATCTGCTACAACAAGGAATCAAAAGAGAATGTAGAGTTCCTACTAAAAACATTGCTTCAGGATGTACCAGGCTCAAGCGAACTCTGATTTTATGTTCAACATCCGCGTGAACCGCGATATTATGTTTACCATTGTAATATTTCAGTCGCTTTTGACTCTATTTATATATATATATATCGTTGAACTCTAGTCATTATTGTCTAGTTGCGCTGTCACAATAATTTTAAGAAACATTTTGGAACAATAAAAAAAATTGTAACCTCTTTGCTCTTCTTGAGTAGCTGTCTACTTAATATTCGGAAACTATTCGAAAATTATTCGATTTGTATTCATATTCGATTCAGTGCCACAATTATTCGATTTGTATTCGATTCGGTTTCAAAAATTCCTATTCGCACACCCTTACGAACGAGCTGTTGTCAGTTATTGCTCTTTGTCTGTTCGAACTATGTTGCCATCATCAAAAATTCTAGTGAGGAGGAGAGCAGTTCTTTGCAACTCCAAGAGAGCCGATGTTGTGTTCATGTTTGCTGTGTCAAGCAGTGTACTATACTTTCAACTTACCTTGCTCGGGCACTACGGGTTCCGACGCAATGGCTGAATGAATATCAACTTGAGAAGCAATTTCTGCAGCTATAAAATAGAAAAATATTTTTGTGAATACTCATGCAGTCCTTTAAAGGGCAACTCCGCTTAATTCCGAAGATTTTGAGATTTTTGAGATGATGAGTGATTTCGCATCAAAAAGCAATAATAAAAGACCCTACATCATTTGCTTCACGAAAAATGGGATATACTATATTGAAACCGAAAGTTTGACTCCGTCCAGTAACATTGGCCTCGGGCCGCCAAGAACATGGCTATCAGGTGGTACAAGATGTCATGTGATCCTCTACGTGACAACGGGCGGGATTGGGGCGAGCACGTGCCACGAGCAAATGTCGTCTGCACCGCACTCTTCACCGTGTTTTGATGTCTACGACATTCGACGCCTGCACAAATGCGGCATAAATCTGCGCTCGTACTGTCCGTAGTGCGGACGAAACTATAAAAGACAATACAAGCGTTGAGACGACGACAACGGTTGCGACGCTAAAGACGACGGTAACGGCGGGACCACAGCAAGGCGGCCCGACGGCTCCCAAGATGCGCGCTGCGCAGGCACGTTACGCCAATTACAAGGACACCGCCGAGCGACAAGAGAAAATGTTGCTGACGTCACCCGTTACACTTGCCCGGAAAAATAAAAACGAGCAAAAGGGGGCAATGGTGATGACGTTTAGCTCAATGTTGGCTACACCCACACCATAGCCTTGACTGCGCTGTTGGTTGCGCTTCAATTCGCACGCTCGAGTCAGCCGATTTTGGCAACTTGGGGAGTTGCAAAGTTTGCCGGAACGTTTAAGAAACATTTAGACAGAACTACGTCGTTATATTTGACGCGTGGTCTTCCTAGGTGATACTAAAGAAGACTGCATTGTTTTTTTTCAAAAACAAAGATGAAGCGGAGTTGCCCTTTAAAAGAAGGCAATTCAAAATTAGCATTGCCGTCATCAAACATTCTAATGAGGCGGAGAGCAGTTCTTCGCCACTCCAAGAGCTGATATTGTTTTCATCTTTGCTGTGTCGAGTAGTGCACTATAGACTAAGTCATGTTTACAAACAAACCGGAACGCCCCTAGTGGACGCCACCGGCGCTGTGCATGCGGAATGGAGTGTGGGCAATAAGCTTGCCATCGCCCATAAACAAGCCATTGAAATGCTATGTTGTCGGCGTCGGTGTGACTCCCCATGCTCTTTTTTGCGTTGGAATTGTTGATTCTACGTCTTCCTGGCAATTTCTGACTACATGAGCGGCCTCGGCAAAATTACCGAGGCTCGTTACACCGCAATACTTCACGTAAAAAATGTGACATGCGGCGCTTTACTCTGCGTGGACGCTGCAGAATGGACGCTAAAGCCCGATTCGCAGGTTGACATTTCACTCGCAATTTTCAGTCACGACGTCGCTCAAGCTGCAAAAGCGTGAACCGCAGCTGAGATAGTCGACGTCGATACTGAAAAATGCAAGCAGAATTGGACCAAGTGAATTAGGCATAACAAGTCGGTGATGGCCACTCGGTAACAATGATCAATATTTCCTTGTATCTACTCTTTACACAGAGCCTGCTTACCCCAACTAACCTTCAAACTTAAAAGTCCTTTGAGGCTTGCTTTTACTTCTTATTGCAATTACCAGGCCAACGTTTGGCCGGTGTCGTCTAAAAGAGCAGACGACAAGCAGAAACGTTTGAAAGAGCAGACGACAGTTTGAACGATCAGGTGGCCATTTGAACTTGAAGACGCACTGAACGTAGTCCGCAGGTGGCCCGTACAACTTGACGGTTTTCCCGCGTTCATGTTGGAACAAAAAAAATAAATGTGATGACCACACGTATCCGTGAATTCAACCAAAAGTGCTTCCCACCCTAGCAATCGTGGTCCGACGGCGTGTGGTTTTCCCTTTTCACGGCACATATCCAGATTCTCGGGCGAACCGAGCACATGAAAACTGACCTTCAAACCTTTCTCGACTCTTTTGGTACAGCCTCAGTCACGGCATTTTGATGAGAAGGCAGGTTTTTGTCTGGTTTCCTTCTAAACAACGCAGAAATGCACGTCCTACATGGTGACTTCCGCCCACAGCCTCAGACCGGAAGTACGCTCGACGCGCACCACCACCCCGTAACGTGACAGAGTTGAGTTTCTGTATACTTTCAACTTGCCTGGTTTGGGCACTATGGACTCCGACAAAATGGCTGAATGAACATCGACTTGAGAAGCAATGTCTGCAGCTGTAAAGGAGAAAAATATTTTGCCGTGAATACTCATGCAGCCTCTCAATACAAGGTAATTCAACTTTAGTGCTGCGCTTGCAACTTACATTGTTCCTCTGTGGAAGGATGACAATCTGGGCTGAGGAGAAGAGATGGAACTGCATTGGGTTTCAGTTTACGTCTGCCATTAACTTCACAGGTCTCAAACTCCTTCGATTCAAAGTGATCCTGAAATAACACAAGTCATAGGTGCATATGCACCTTAGTTGCTCCTTCACAGCATCAGCCCTGTTAAAATGCAATGCACACTCCTAATTATGTGAATTAATGTGCTTCGTGTAGATGTAGCCTTCGAAGCAGAGCTTCGGCGAACCTTGTTGAGAGGCCACAAAGGTAGCCATGTTCTATAAACAACCTGATGCCAACCAGTGAGTCGGACCAGTTGTATTGTTCAACCGATAGGTTCTCATTGCCAAGTGCGGGAAGGCCTTGGCAAAAACGAAGTGCGTATGGGGGATCCGCACGTAAAAAGCAGAGTTCACTCTCCACCTTCTAGGCAGGACACTTTGTGGTATGAAATATTACGGTTTGGAATGTCCTTGGTATTTATTTATTTATTCTGGCCATCAATGCGCCCACAAACCGCTCGTGGCCTTATTAGTGCACATAGGAAGCGTCTTGGGATGACGGGTGTCGGGATAGAATGTTTTTGGCATAAAATGTTTGGGATGAGCTGTATTTGGATGAACTTCCTATTTTAGGCAGGAGACTTACTGGTATGAAATATCCAGGTATGGAATGTCCTTGGTATGAGGCGTCTTGGAATGAGACGTCTCGGGATAAAACGTCTTTGGCATAAAGTGTCTGTGATGAAGTGATATGGGAGTGACCCTTGAAAGGCTCCTGAAAGGCTCCAGATACTGCGTGGACTATTCTGGCATGAAATGTCGGGGTATGGACTGTTCATGGGGCAAACCGGGACAAACCGTTCGGGGATGAAACACCTTGGGATGAATGGACTTTGGTATTAAGTGTCTGGGATGAACTGTCCTGGGATGAAGTATGGTTAGTATGGTCAGCATGGTACATAGAGCCCCCAGCGAGGAGCACCACACGCGCGGATGCGCCAGTAAGTCACTTTAGAAAACAAACCTGTCGAACGACCGTCGTCGGGGAGGAAATATGCTTTCTACCGAAATTTAAAGGAAATTCAGACCTACCTCGCAAATTCTTGCGTTCTTGGGAGTTGGCGATCTCCGTCCCATACGCAAAAGCCAGACGAGGCGGCGTCTCACATCGTTTCTCGTCGTCGGAATCCTGTAAAAGCTCTTGCCGCTGTCCGCGCGATTTGTGCACTTCTTAACACTACAGCCTGTCATTTTCAAGGGGCTCTTTCTACGCGCATGCCGAATTTACTGGTGAGAGCTGTGGGAGCTCTCCAACCAGCCACAATGGCCGAATGTGCCATTCCGCGAGCAACGCGATCGTCGCCCGTGTCGTCTGCTTCCCATAGCTTGGTAACGGATGTTCTAAAACATCGCTCGCGTACTCTCACAGTTGCTACATATAATGTTAAATGATTTAGGGAGCTTTCGGTTCGTTCGATTTTAGTCTAGGGTCTACATTTTGCAAACGCAAAGCAAAAAGATTCTATCTGCCCACGTGACCACTCGTCCGCCAATAGGGAAATTGCGCCGAAATGAAAAGAACGCGATACTCTAGCACTGCAAGAGCTCAGTATACGAGCGCCCCCGCGCCCCTAACGGCAAGGCGCACCAAACACTCTTGCCAGATCCGACGCATCTTCAACAATGGCGGCCAGCACAATCCTGCGCGCGCTGCTGATCGTTTTCTTCGTCACCATTTCTGGCATCTCCGGAGCCGAAGCGAGCGGACTGGACACCGGCGACGCCCTCGCGCTCATGCTGGGCATCATGATCACCGTGTTCGGCACCTGCGCCTGCCTGGGCATCTACGCGAGGAAGAGGAACGGCTACCAGTGAGTTCCGCACACGCCCCTCGTGACAACGTCGCAAAACCCACCGGCACTGTCAGGCAAGACAAACAGGACGACGACCTCCGTGGGCACAGAGCATGGATAACGACCCATGTCGGCTTTTTCGTCGCTTGCCGAAGCTATCGTCTCAGCACTGGTGATTGTGAAAATGCACGGCTGATTTTTCTTCGGTGCAGCGTTAGAATGTGCGGTTCTGCACGCTTGTCTAGTCGTCGTCGTTCAGGCGACGCATAATGTTAAATAAATGTTTTTCAGTTGGTTCGTTTGACCCAGTGCTATTTGGTGCTGTTACTGCGTTCAGTGAACTTTTATTATTTATTTCAGGAACTTCTTCAGTGGACCCGACTAATCGAGCTAGTGGCTTATCAACTTGGGCTTTACAAGAGCAGATAGGAAGCTTCTAAACATATTTCACAGCGGAACTTTTCTGCCTCGTTCACTTATCAGGAACGATTCGTAATCGCGCAGAGTCAACGTTTTGCCCCCAGGCTGCTAGAGGTATGGCCACTAACGGGACGGTATGATGTGTTCTACAGGTGCCCAGCCTCCATAAGTTGCCTTCCGTGGTGCTTCGACTGCTCGTGCACGCTCGCGAGACATCGAAGCGTTGTCCGTGGTAGAAAGGTCACGCTGGAGTGGGGACGACGGAATTACTTCCCCGACACATCTGCATTGGTTGCATTCGCATGCAACCGAAACGACTGCAACCACAGTCGAGTGCAAATGTTCGCTGTACACAGCATGGCAAGCGATGGAAGGGATAGCTTCTCGAAGCAACCCACGAGTCACGGTTGTTGAGTTTACATGCGAATGCAACCGTTGCAAATGTGTGAACCAGCCTTTCATCTGTTAGTTGCTATAGCAATCGTACTCAGACCTAGAGTCTTATTTTGAGTGTTCGAGTGCAGCATTATTTGTTTGCATAGCTTACATGTCTATTTAGTTCCACCAAAGGAAGCGGTTTTCACCTGTGCCAGTGCATAAGTGGGTAATACATGGCTTGCACATGTCACCATGTTATATCAATAGTCATTCCTACATGTTCTCACCAGAGGAAACAAATTCAATTATGCAAAATATGTGCTGCAGAAGGAGTATGCACGTGACAGCAAGGCCCTTCAAAACAACCACTGATGCGATACCAGTGCGAGCCATGTGTTGTAAACAGCCCCGAAGTTAATGTATTTCCGTCTAAATCTTCCGAAACGTTGGAGAGTTTTAGCAGATTGCTCCCATAAAGTATGATGCACATGCAAAGGTGCCGGCAAAGTATCTGCTGTTGTTATTGTGATTATCGGAATGATATACAAAACTCCCTATTAAGCAATATGTATACTGCAATGGGTAGGTATTTGTGTGTGGAACGACAGCGATCAAATTTCAAACTATGCTGTCAGTTTTGCAACCGACCATTTATTATTCTTCCTGCCATCTTGGATAAATAGACGGCACAGATGATAGAAATCGTTCACTGCAAGTGATGCCAAGATTCAAACCTAAATAGAGTATTCTGCATCCCTTCTTGGGAAGCTCGCAACACGACACTGTAGAACACTCGGTGCCAGTGTTCAGCTGCAGTTCACGGGCTATTCCAATATGCTCACGGACAGCTATCTGCGATTATGCAGTCGAAGCTATGGGCACACGTGCACTTGCACAACCCGAACACCCGTCGAAGCTGTGCACGGGCGCTCCCCACTTCTCAAGTGCCACAGAAATTTGTATGAGAGTATAGTGCATCAGGTGCAGTCCAAAAGTTTTTCACTCTCGCACCTATAGAGCAGTAAATGCTAGCTCGTGATCACAAAGATGCAAAGAAAAAACGGGCCGTATCTCCACATGGTGAATGATGTTGATTAGGGCGAAGCTCTGGTGGTGCTGATGATACTGATTTTATTGCTCATAGGTACTACTGATGGTGCTAATTTTTTTTATTGCTCATAGGTAGTGCTGAGTTCCGGGTTGCATTTCGACTTCATTATTACTGCTTTATGGTCGGTGAAATGCAGAGCCAGTGGTTCTTCTAGCGCAGGGGTTCTCAAACTTTTTGGTCTCACGGAACCCCAGGAAGCCTCAGACTGCCGCGGAACACTCCCCCCCCTCCATATTTGCTGACCCAGATGCAACAGATGCACTATTGTTGGCAATTTTGCTTGTGTTGCTTCCCATATATCCCCACCATATCAATCGCGATGTCAGTACAAAGTGAGATGAAGGCGCTTTACATGGTCCTGCCGCGCAGCCTGCGACATGGGGGGGAGATTGCGATTTGGGTGTTCGCGGAACCCACGAGCCTGTGTTCCCCGGAACCCAGTTTGAGAACCCCTGTTCTAGCGGATCAGCTTGGGTTCACTAGGAGCCGTGGGAATGCATCTCCAACGCTTAAGTCGGCGTTCCATGTCAGAAAGAGAATGTGTGGTACGGATCGTGGTTATATACGCATCTGAGCATTTGACTGCAGCGCCCTCTCGTCTATAAACGTTGAGCCAATGCATGCAAAGTTTAACGCGATTCTATACGCATTTGACCGCAGCGCCCTCTCCTGTATAGACGTTGAGCGGCTACATGCAACGTTGGCTCTCCCGCACGGCGAGGCTCCATAATGACGCCGATGCTCAGCCGGCCAGGATGTATTTTCGCCAAAGTGTTGTCGCGTACATAGAAAACTTTAAAACACAAGAGACCGCACCTGATTGGTTACCTAGAATTGAAACGCTCGAAATGTTAAAAGAATTTTGAGGTGTCAACGTCAGCCATTGAAGAGATGACGATTTCATATTTCTTCCTCATTTGTATATACCTGTCATGTTACCATGCGTGAGTAATGCGTGTTTGATATAAAAAAATCGGGTAATAAAAAAAAAAAAATTGAGTGTAGCGTAGTGGTTAAGATGTCTGCCTCGCAAGCAAGCGGTCTTGAGTTCGAACCCCCGTGCGGGCGTACGTTTTTTTTTTAAAGTGGGCCGATCCCGGAGGCAGTGCAATCGATGTGAGCACGGATGCCGGACGGACAAGGCTAGACCCTAAGGAGCTTCACCCCTAAAAAATGTTCTCAATGCACCGGTGGAATATCCCACTCATCTCGGTTGCGACCAATACCAGGTGTTTCGCCTTTGACACTCTTGAAGAGGCCCCAGAAAAAAAAGGAGTCTGCGTCCGATGCGCATCAATGTTTATTTACAGGCAGTGCAGCCAAAAACAAATGGCAGTAGGGAAGGCTTGCGAGGCGCACGCTCGCGATGCCTTCCTTCCAAATCGCGTGACCACTCGCTACACGTCGCACAACACTGGGCAACACCGACAATCAAATCTTGAAGACTGACGACGCCGCGGTGCTCCGGTAAAGGCGCAGCAGGCACGGCTCGCATGTTTCCACACACAATTGGCACAGCGAGTGATGACGCGGCACATGGGGCGCCGGGAGATTGGACCACGTGGTTATGTACAGAAGAGAGAGACGTTAAAACTTTGGTGAGAACACAAACCAACGCACGGCCGACGACGGTGTTACTCCGAAACGGGGGAAGGGGGCGAACGACAAACGGTTAAAAAGGTGGGACGGTGAGTTAAGCGCTTGGCGTGGGCGAACTGAGATTCTCGACGCGCAGTTGCAAGCAGTCGTCCTTTTGAGTAAATGAGAAACGTCAAAAGATGTTTCTAGCTGCGCGGGTTTGGTTTAGACGGAAGCTGCCTGAGGTAGCTGAGCGGAACGCTGTGAACGTGACACCGGGCAATGCGTCTAAGCAACCTTGGGCTATGTTACGGCGGTCGGCTAGGCCATGTCCGCCATTGTGACCTTGGCAACCTCTGCCCCAACAAGCGGTGTGAGGAGGAAACAGTCTAAATGATTGGGGCTTGGCAGTGCCACCTCCGGTGCAAAAGGTGGAAAGGACACTAAAAAAAAAGTGCACTGTTCGACGCATACAATGCTCACGACCTCACCGTGGCTCGTCTTGGCTGAGTTGGCACTCGTCCGACGAGCAATAAATAACGACGATGTATGTTCCGTCGGCTGTGTTGACCACTACCGACTTGGGCGCCCCCTGGAACGGGCCTACGCTGCAGGCCGCTAGCAGGGTTTGACAACGTGCGGAGCACCTCGAAAGAAGTCGGAACCTGGTGCCTCTTCCGTGTGCGACAGAGTCCGCGGGTTCCGGACGATGATCGGCGAATGAAAGGTTGCAACACCGCTAACGATATAACAACAACAACACATCAATAACAACGCTGTAGTAAAGTGAATTGTAAAGAAAAAAAAAAAGGCAAAGGCGCTTCGGTTTAAAAGAAAAAAAAAAAAAAAAAACACACTGAGACACGTGTTGATGCTGGTCGCACGTCCGTTGGTCGCCGGCGCAAGCGCGACAGTATCCCACAAGAGGTCACGTGACGGCCGCGGGCGAGACCTGGTGAGTCGCGTGATCGGGCAGGGGGAGGGGAGGGTCCGGTCGCCCCTCGTTCAGTTCGTCGCGGAGGAAGCGCCGGAAAATACTGCACAGAGTTGGACGTCGACAGTTTCACCGCCACTTCTTGCTGCTGGCTTGCCCACGCTGCCACGCAGGAACAAAAGGAAAATGCATAATTTTATAAAAACTGTCGCACTCTGTAGGCTAGAAAGTCGCAACACTTCACCTGGGTTCCCCGTTTCCGATGTGCATTCTTTCATTCTACTTGGCAAAATTGTGTTCACACCCTTTGAGTGAAGATGGTGTTTATTGGTAACTATTACGCATTAGAGTATAGATCATAAGTAATGCACTTAGCTTATTTACTCATTTATTTATTTATTCAGATACCTACAGCGCCATGGGGCATTACAGTAGGGGGGGGGAGAAGTTGGAAATGAAGAACACGAATAGTTATACAAAAGTTAAAAGAGCAATATTCACAAGCCATAAATCTTTCGATTTATGGCTTGTGATCTATTTGATTTATTTGCAGCTTGGCAGCAGAGAAGCTGGTTAAGTACAATTGAAGGGACAGTAAATACAATTAAATATTTCTTTCTGTCAAATTTTTTATGTATGACCCAACAGGTCAAAACTACATCAGAACTTCTGGTTAGAATCTTGGAGATCAACAGAATGTCGATATAATAACTCCTTTTCTGTTCGATAGATTCATGAGACGAGGAACCATAATTTTATAACATGACTTTTTCTGTATTGATGGGCATATTTCTGCTACGTGTTAAAGGGACATGTGTCAGGGGAAAGCTTCTTTTTAAATATTGGCAACGACAATAAAATTTTCACAGTTTGTAGTGTTTGATTTTCTTCCTGTAAATATGCTGTTAGTTTTCGTATAGCTTGTTTATTATGTTCTGAATGCAATGCACGTGAAGAAAGAACCATGCTATTGCATGCCCATGGGGCATGGCAACACACTTAAAAGAGTCTAGGTAGTAAAATAGGCTAATTCGCTCCTTTTAAACCACTGGGTGCAATGAGCGATGAAAATTGTGTGTATAACAACTCTTATTTTAAAATGATGTAAAACTGCAAACATTCCATTTTCAAGACTAAGTTTTTATAAATATAAAAAGATACATTCTAATGAAACCTCTATAGTTGCATTCTAAATATCCTCAAGCTTATGCATGCCAAATTTGGCTGTCATAGGACAATATTAAAGAAATACTGAATCAAAACTTGAAAGTACACATCTCGCATTCAGAAATAAGTTAAACACGACCAACTCTCTGCTAATTACAATTGCACGCTTGTATTTTAAGCGGATGGCTATATTTTTTTGTCTCAAAGGACCTATTCCAGCGAACGCTCCCAAGATCCACCATTGCTAGTATGCAGCTAGGATGCAAAAGGGACAGAACGAGGGTTAGTAAGGTGACCCTCTTACCGCAAATGTGACAGATCTAAATCTTCCAGCTGCAAAAGACAGAAACAAAAACAAGTGTAAGAGAATGAGAGCAATAATGAGAATCGGTCATTATGCTGTACCCTTTCCCATTACAACGGCGTACCGCTTTACCCATAGGTAGTGCTAGCAACTAATAAAACAAAGAAAGCCCCCAGCATAGGAAAATCACAGAATTTATTTCCTCCTCTGGCATGCACAAACTCTGATCTTTAAGTTTTGCTCTCTCACATATATAGGGGCGCCACCCAGATCGTCCCAAGAAAGCCGGTGGCATTCTTCAAATTATGTCATTTCTCATATTTATTCGCGGATTTCAGTATAAAGTGGACTGGTGTCTACACTGAGCATGGCTCGTTAGTCTAAGCTCATTATAACAGGCCTGGTTACAACAGACATTTGGGTATAACATACCAATTTTTTAAGTTCGGTTGGTATTCCTCTATGCACCATTGACTCAACTTCATATCCGCATACAACATTCTTCTTTTAGAACAGACTAAAATTATGGTCAAAATCAAGGCCCTTTATAATGAGCTTAGACTGTATTTTTCTAGCTACGTAGGCTGTAGGTGACTTCGGGCGTAACTAACCAGACCAGGACATCTAGACGGCAGATTTGTCTCACTAATGCTTTGCAAACATGCATTGCCAAAATAAATAAAAAAAAAAAAAACCAAGTTTCCATCCCCCCCTCAAGTTTCCATCTCCCCCCCCCCCCCCCCCCCCCCCCCAAAAAAAATGGTTAGAGTGTGTTTCAATTTTCTAACCCCCCCACCCCTACTAAACCAGCAATTCCAATCTGTTTCATGTTTGTCACACTAACCGAGGTGCACCAAGATGGCAGCAGGTGCCCACCTGAGTCAAGGTGGGCGGACGTCCAGCAAAAGACCCCTCGTGGGGTCGGGGAAGCATGTGCCGCAGTAGCCTCCACACTGGCCCTGGATTATCTGCCCCTCCTGTACACAGACACACATGTACATACGTTGTCAATAGGACAGCTGGGAGAGTTTATTCTCGTTGCTCGTATTGCAGTAAAAACGTTAAGTTTGTACCAAAAACAAGATCTGCAGGAGAATAAGCTTTGCCTCTAGCAGATGCTAGTTGCTTTCCAACATGTTCGTCTGTGCATGCACCAAAGTGTCATTCAAAGTAGAAAACTCACGCTGGAGGTAGAGCCTCTATACTGCAGATCTTACGTTGCGGCAGATTAGAATGAATCTGGTTGTTTTCAAAAAAATCTTCACCGAATCAATCTCTTCACTATGTCAGCACCTCAAAAGCAAGATATACTTCAAATTTCGACGTTTGTTCCACTACATGCATATTTGCCTTACATCAACCTTCACTATACAACAAAGCCCTACAGCCTCCTTTGCTTCAGCTGGCAAGCAAACTTATGACTTGCCAGTGACTCACTGTATGACAAATGCTTATGACTACCCAGCCCTATACGTGCAGTCCCATATGCACACCGCACGAGGGCGTTTCATTCACCTGAAGTCGGCGCAGCTTGATGACGGCGTGTGGGCCCTGCGTCACCCACTTGGTGGCGTCGGCCACCACGAAGTCTGTGCCGGCCAGGTTGAGCGAAAAGCGGCCCTGGGGGCACTTTGCCCGGCTGTAACAGTCCCCCGACTCCCCGAACCCCGTGGGACGGCCCTTCTGGGTGCGGCTGAACGTGAAGTCGTGCCCTGGACGGACGCGCCGGGAGAGAAGGCGTCATTGAGGCATGCACCCACCGCGACAAAACGACGCTACGCTGCGTGCACCTCCTGTATACCGAATGTTTGGCCCTACTAAAAAAAAAAAATGCAACAAATGCACACACACAATCTACTTCCTTTAATACCATATGAAGGACCCACTAAAGAAAAATCTGAAAATAAGCTAATTTTATTAAGTCAATTCACAATTTTAACTAATTCAATACAATCTCCCTCACCTTATACACATATTATAATCGTTAAACAAGCAAAATATTGTCGGTGCTGCGCGCCACATATATTTAACTAAAATGTCGCTAATGGTACAGCGATCATTAAAAACGGGCAGAAAAAAATAATACCATTTATGTGCCATATAGCAGGGAGGGTAGGGTAGGTAACCATAGCCTGGCCTACATCAAAGTGACCTGTGCATTCTTCGTTGAGAAAAATGCATATAACATTTTTATATGGTATTATATGGTCGTATGGGTCCATATGTGTTTTTTTTTCCCATACTAAAGGGAGGAAGAGACAACCGCTTTTTTACCAACGCAAATATAAACTATGCATTCCCGAATGGATGGCTGAACTCGCCATTATTCAATACAAAAGTGAGGGTGTGGGCAATTTTTAAAAATTTTTTTACTGAGAAAATGTTTGAAGAGAGTTTCAGCAAAACTATGATTATCTTATGCTGTAAACAAAAACACTTTTTTCAAGTCGCTGCCTGCTCACTACCGAGATCCAAATCTTACAGCATTGTAGAATCCCTCTGGCGAAAAAGAGGGGAGCAAAGTCAGGCCGAGGTGCCTTCCACACTTCCTTCGCCGAAAAGAGTAGGCCTCGCAGGCAACGCGCAGCAGCACACGAGAGAAGCAGCACGAGCATAAAGTCAGACTCACTGTTCACTTCGAGGGAAGTAATGTTGAAGGCAACCTTGGAGAAAGTGGTGAGGGCAGCCGGGTAATCCACACAATCGCAGTTGTCCACACGTGCCCCTCCATACGGACACTCGTCCGACTGAATAAGCCTGCAAACGAAACACCGCCATCGTATCAAAGATGAAAGTAGGCTTCGCGATCATCAAATTGAATAGGCGTATATCTCTCAATCAAAAACATAGATGCTCAAAAGCTTCGGGTTCCTGCGCATTCCCAGCTACGTAATCTAGGTTTTGATGGTGACGACATCTTCTTGAGGGACGAGTGAAATGACGAAAGTCTTTCGTTTTTCCCAAATGAAACGACACTCGTGACATAACCTATAGTGTCACAGGTTAACAAAGGAAGGACAAGATCCTCCTTCAAAGCCCTCCACTCCCTCCACTTTAGCAGAGCCAATGCTGGAGAGGAGGAAAGTGGAAAGAAGGAAAGCACTAATCATGCTGAGCAGAAAGCTTTATGGGAGGGGCCGATCCCATCATTCTAAACCTGCGACGCATCGTAGAGCAGCCAATATAGGCACGAGTTGTCGAAGGGCAAAGTCGAGACACATTTCGATTAGTAGTAGTTTAATAGATTGGTTCCATTCCCCTAACTTTTTCACTTCATTTGGCCTTTGTGGGAGGCGAGACGTCTCTCGAGATATTAGACCCAGTAACTCTGAAGGCTGGTTCACACACTTGCTATTGCTTACAACCGCTTGCGTTGAAACCTCTTGAAATCTCTTACGATGAGGGAAGACATGCTGGCGCCATCTATCAGGTAGCCGAGGAACACATTACCGTATGTTCCTTATTTTGATTCAAGCAACATTCTTTCTTGGTTCGAAAAACTTTGGACAATGTTATAAACTACCTTTTTTTTTTATATATAGTAGTGTGGCGCGAATATTCGAAATTTCTAATAAAAGTTTCGAATAATACACTATTCGATATTCGCTTAGCAACTACCTAACTGTGATATCAATATTTTTCTACATTTTGATGGCGGCGGGTTAGTCCCATTGAGCGCTCTGAAAACCGCGAAGCCCGCGTAAGCGGGCTTCGCAGGTGTTATTTCTTTGCAGCGCACCGGCGCTTGGTAAGAAGTGCACTCAACACTGTAACCCAGCGCAATCGACACTTGGCAAAGTATGAATATTGCACATACGTGCTTGAGAGAAAAGCATACTTTCAAAGCGGGATGGTGCAGGCGTGCACCTGGTGTAATTAAAAAGAAACGGAAACCTTATGAATCTTGATACCTACACTGCAGTAAAATTTTGACAATTAAACTGTGGCCGTTATCCAAGGGTACATGTTAGGTAGAGATGCCCTGACAACCTGCGTTCATCATTCGCAATTTCTTTTTTTTTTTTCAAATTCAAGATTTAAGAAGGGATTTTTGTATATAACAAGATTTGTAAACACACTCATTTAGGTATAGCTAAGCATTTGATAGGTTTAATATGTCAAATCCATCATGTACTGGCCATCCTAAGTCATCTCACTTTCTAGGGTCACTGTTTATAGATATAGTCAGATTAAAATTAGCTTATAAATGTACAAGTGGAAGCTTGGGAACAACCTACATGAGTTCAGCTCGGTTTTTGCTTAAGCATGGTGCAACAGTAGTGAAAAGCTTTGAGAAATGATTCAATATTTGGTTCGAAAATATTTGGCCAAAGCCACTACAGTATAGACCACTTACAACGTAACCGCTTATAGTGCAGGACCGGGTATAACGCGGTTTTTTTAAACCACCGGTTCGCCTCCCATAGAACTCCATGTATTTACATACCGCTTAAAATGCAGGCGCGCGAAGGGAAATACCGGTTATAGTGCGATTTTTGGCACAGCCCGCCGACCGCGCCGACGACCGGAGCAGCGAGCACGCTTCCCTGTGCGACACTAGATAACGGCACTGACGGCGCGGGGCAAGGAGGTTGCTCGAAGAACTGGGGAGAAGCGAAGAGAGAGGCTTCAGTTGCCATAGCGACGGAGGGACGCACGCACGTGTCGTTCGCGTGCATGCGTCCCTCCGCTGCGTTGGAAACAAAGAAACAAACAACCGCACCGACAGACCAATCGCGAATCGAGGAGAAGTGTTCGCGCGCGTTCATACCGGTCGCGGGCCGGCTGCTTCTATCCGCAAACATGGCGTCGGTTGTGATAGTCGTCGTAGACGGCGTTCATCTCATCGTTCTGCGTAAAAGTGCTATCCTTGACTGTAAATTTTCGTTGTGTTTCGCTACCCAGCACGTACTAGAAGGGAAGATCCACCTACGCTTGCGGCGATGTCGTGGCGGCGCTCTCAAGACGGCAGAAACGCCCGTGTCGTCGTGTTTGCTTACTTCGACTACAGTGGTGATTTCTAAGCATTTGTGTCCTCGCACATCGCCCAGATTTCTTATTTGGCGCATTTCATGCGTGTGCTCAAGTTCAAGGTATTACTGGCGCGTACCCTATGAAGGATGCGAATTTTCACGCGTTTTCATCTCCGGAGAAGAGTGATTAGGGTTAGCAATCCTGAACGCTCGCAACGTCCGTCCGCAACCCGCGACGCCGTTAAAAGGCCGCGCCAGGCAAAAGCCGCTAATTCCTTTCAAAATGTGTGACACACTTGAGACAGAACTGTACTAGTCTGGTGAAAAAAAACTTTCCTCAAACTAAGCTTTATTTTTCATCTAAGATAAAATAAATTCGTTTACAAAGGTAAGTTGTCTCATGGCATGTATATTTTGGCCTGAAAAATTGATGTTTTGGTTATAGCGCGGTACCGCTTATAGTGCGGATTTTCGCGACTCCCGCGACATACGTTATATGCGGTCTACACTGTATTAGATTTGAATTCGCTGTGAAAGTCAAAATCCACTATTCGCACGTGATTAGGATATATAACAGTCGGTATGTTTGATCTCGTGAATACAGGAAACCCTTCTCTTTAATGAAATGCAGTTCTAGGGTCACCTTATAGATGGTGCCAGCACACCTGCGTGTTCTCTCGTCATAAGAGATTGCAAGAAGTCGGTCCTAAGCAAATGCAAGTGTGTGAAGGTGCTTTGAGCTAGGGGGACAGTGAAACAGGCTGGTTCCTTTGAAGCAAGAGAGCTTGCACCCACCTCTTGCCGTACACCTCGGAGTAGTTGTTGCTCTCGCCACTGTCAAGTGAGATGTACTCCTTGGGGGAGGAGGTGTTCATGCGGGCACAGTACACCTTCACCTGGCGGCCGCGAATGTTCAGCTGCTGTTCCCCGTCCGTGTGGACTCCGCCGCGTCGCTGAACCTCCTCACAGCTCACCGCAGAACCTGGATCGTTCAGGAAGCCACATTCTCAAGCCGTAGCTCTCCCGTGCAACTCTTTGCACTGTTTGCAGCAGACGCCATTCTCAGCCTCGACAGCCATGTACCAGAGCCCAGTTACAGTTAGAATTACAGTGCCTGGAACGCATCTCCGACTTGTGTTTTTATTGTATTGCCACGTTATCGCCGGCCGCGATTTGGACAGTGTTACAACAGCGGTGACAGCCAGGAGTTGGGTCGCCATGACGTTTCACGGTCCCCGGAAACTTAAGCAGTTAGGAGTTGGGTTGCAGCGATGACAGCGACACATTCATGTTCCCTCTCGCTTTGTTTCCATAACTTCTACCCCCAGCCACCAAGATTGTAACAACCGACAACGCGACACAGGCTGTGCACGGGCGGCAAAGGATGCTATGGGTTTTGCACGGCCGGAAAAGGACACTAAACACACCGGTCGGAGCTGTGTTTCGGGCACGACCTAAAAGGCCATTAAATGCCGCAGGCCAAGAAAAAAGGGAGCGTGAGGCTCACATGGCCTGAGCATGCAGCGCCGTTTCCGCTTGATCCTGTGCTTGAGGGCGGCACTGCAGTGGCTGTTGTTGACGCGCTTCCCCCTGTTGTCGTGGCAGCGCAGCCGACGCTTCTGCTTGCCCGGACCGCAGGACGTCGAGCACTACGAGTGAGAGTACATGGATACAGATCGATACAAGGTCTTGAACATTCCACACCACTCCGCGCGCCGAACGAGCAGACGTTGCCAGATCAGTCAAATTTAAGGACAGTGCATGTCACCAAATAACACCTCTGCCCTTGAAAGAGAAAGAAACAGCTAGATATGCAGGATTGCGCACCTCGAAACAGTCTTGCACAAATTATGTTACACGATCATCCCGATCAATGATTGACTCGGTAACTCCGAGGCAAACCGCCGGTCTACGGATGCCCGGGTGGCGGGTTCAAATCCAGGCCGACATGTCCGCAACACCTGACGGAGACTTATTGCAGAGAAGGTGCCTTACAGCCAATACATCAGTTGCACGTCAAAAGATCCCCAGGGGCCGGCCCTAGACACGTCAAACACAAAGTTGGGGCCAAAGTTTATGGAGTGCACAATGCCACCGCTGCACTTTGGTCGCCAAACTTTGTGGTCGATGAGCCCAGAGCCCCAAGCGGACGCAATGAATCCTCAGACTTCTGCTGGTTTTGGCATATGAAACTCCCAACTTTGACCTCTTCCCAATGCACTAAAAACTGGGGCCACAAAAGTAATGGGTCTTACAGTACTCTATCCCTGACAGCGAGACCGTCGAAACGTTTGGACGAACACTTTCGGAAGACGCACGAACGAGACGCTGCCGCGACCTACTGGGGTCCAGGGTCCCGGGCGCCAGAAGACCCCGTCCCCGCAGTGTCCCACCATGCAGGGCCGGGTGGTGGCGGGCTTGTCGTGGGGCGTGCAGTAGTGGGCGGCCCTCCGCTCATGCGGCCAGGCGTCCCCATGCCGCCGCTCGGCGTCCGCCAGGGGCACAGGGTCGGCCCAGCCGTAGGGGTTCACCTTGTGGCAGGTCACTGCACGCTTCTGGAAGCCCTCCCCACACGTCTGGCTGCACTGCGTAGCCAGGCGGACACGTGTCAGCAAAGCAAGGCTGAGCTAACCAAAGCAAAGCAATCAGAACATAGTTCAACCCGTAGGCACAACAATAGTACATGGGGGTGCATAAAACAAAGCATTTAGTAGCCATGTTAACTTACAAGAGCACTGTACCTGCACTGTGGTGCAGGTACAGTGCTTCCCGAATTTGAAACACCCGAAAACGTTCACAGTAAGAGACTGCTGCAGATCAAATCAAATGGCAAATCCTATGCACAAATTATTTTAAATGTTTTGAATATGCACACACCTCCAGTTAATTTACATCATGCAGCGTAGCATTTTCTCATATAAAAGATGCACCGGAGGCAAGGCTTAAAAAATGAACTCACTGACCTACCCAATTTCCTTACAACTAGAACACTGTGCAAAGATGACTTGTAGACAACACAAAGCTGTAACAGTGATCCGATTTTTATTCACGTGTTATGAAAGTTTTCGTGTCTCTACTCACCTCGGACCAGTCGGATGTTTTCCAAATGAAGGGACAAGGATGTACCGCGCAGTGTCGGACGACCTTGGGCCGACGTTGGCTGTTGCAGAAGCGCTCGGGCGCCAGGCGTTCGCTTCTGTCTACGCACACGACAGTGCGCGTTTGGGATCCTCCACCACAAGTGGCACTGCACTGTGGACACAAAAGGCAGCAAGTAAGTAGAACGTCCACTGTCACCTGTTCTTTATGGAGAAACACAGGATTACACATCTTCTAGGATTCCAAATAAAAAATAATAAAAAAAGTGAAAGACAGAATGAAAGTCCCATTAAAAGCTGCAAGAGTGCAACTATCTGAATTTCGAATTATACATGCTCCACATGCCGCCACTTCCCTGTGGTACGCCATGAAGTAAAGGTAAAGCACCATTCTCTGTGCATTGCACGAATTCCTTGCTCTGCAAATAATGGTGCCCACAAACTGTAGCATATACATCAAAGTCCGGAGTGAAAAATAAAATTGTGCCATTACATGCAATGTTTTACTGCAAACTTCAAAATGAGCTCTGACAGGCAATCGTGGAATAGAAAAAAATATCTATCATCTCGACATCATGAGATACTGGGTCCGGACGTTTGACAGAACGCCGTTTCATTGAACACTGTTTTTTTTAACACCAATCCATCGCAGTCATTTCATCGAATGCCATTTCATAGAACGCCATTTTATCAAAGCCATTTCATCGAACACCGCCTAGTTGAGCAGTAGGAGTATTTTATCTAGGAAATACCTTTTAACACTGGAAGGATAGCAGTGTAACAATAATCCTTATAATTTATAAATTCTAGACTTTCTTCTCCTACACAACGGGGAACCAATATTAAAATATTTTCCCCACTACCTTTTCCATGCTTTGTTTTGTAGTTGATCTCATGACTTGTGCTGTTATTGTGACCAATAAAAAAACGAGAACACCAACTTGACATTTTCTGAAACCTGCAATCATTCGGGTGCAGTCATGAAGGTATGCAACCTCGACCTTGAAGAGAAGTATTCCACTTCAAGCACAAAGCCATCCTTGAAGCAGTGACCTGTCTCCATGTCACATGAAAAAGAAAAAGACGTTCTTGCTTCCTTTTGTTAATTTTTCGTAATCAGCAGAACCGTGAACCTGCCGGCTTCTCAACCTATGTTCTTAGAAAGAAAGCTACTCAGGATATAATGAACACACATGTAAACGGGTAAATAAAAAAAAAAAGAGTCTGCCGCTAAGCGTAGTTATTTTCCTTTTCAGGTAGTGCCTTTTACGTGTGAACAAGTATGGCAATAGAGAGGGCATTGGATAAAAAGCAAACAGGTGCTTATACTATCTGAAAACAGCAAGTCACATACCCACTCAAGTTTTGTTATGCTCTAAGATTCAATAACCAAAAATTAAGTGAAAAAGTGACCAGGGCAGTCATTCTATTCCAGTTTTACTCTCGCCTCTGAAAACTCAGAGGCGAAAGTAAAACATTGCCATACCCTGTAATACTCCAAAATTCAGTGAAGCGAAATTCAACGAAACGGAGTTCAATGAATTTGTCTTCGAGGAAATCTCTACTTATTCGATGAAATGGCATTTGGTGAAATGTTCGGCACCCACGAAACACAATAACATTTGTGACCGCTTTCCACAAAGTTCAAATAAAGGTTGCAGCTTGTCACAAGGGGGAACCACTATGGAGCTGACACTCCCTCCCCAAGATGCAGCCAATCCTTTAAAAACCTAAAGTCTTAGAGATCCCAGCCTCCCCTGAAAAGTATTGGTGGCTATGCCTCAAGCTGGAATAATGGTAGAGAAGAGCTTTGGCAGCGATGCTGGAAAGTATAAAGTTGGGCTGTGTGTGGAAGAAAAAAAATAGGTTGTGTGTATGTTTATACAGCCTAGAACTTAGTCTGGCTCAACGGGCGACTTGTCTCCGAGCTGTAGATGAGAACTGTAGCCAGTGCAGTACAAACCGCTAACCTGGCATCTTTAACGTGCACCCCGCAGTAGCGCTACACGACTGTGCGCCAGTACGATGCTCATCCAGATCGAAACGGGCAGGGGTGGGGATTGAACTAAGGATCCCTGGGTTCTGCAGCGCGAGGTTTCGATCCACGTGCTCCGACCTGGTGTGTGGACTTACGGGGGTCCATCGCTTCTTCTTCCAGCGGTAGTGGCAGGGGCGGAGGTTGCAGGTGCGGACCTGAGGCGAGGGACGCTTCCCGTGGCAGTTCAGGGGGCTCACTTCCTGGCCGCGCTTCATGCAGCGTGCCACCCGCTTCTGAGTGCCATTCCCGCACGGTGCAGTACACTGCGACCACAGTCAAAATGGATGCAGTCTCGTCACACGATTGTCACACGAAAGGGGCCCTAAACTCGGCAAACACAAAGTTGGGGCCGAAGTTCACGGAGCGCGCCGATTGGACTATACCGGTGATGACTTTGCGCTTTTTCTGCCTTCGTCCAATCAGCGCACTCCGCGAACTTTCGGCTCCAACTTTGTGTTCGACGAGTTTAGGGCCCCAGGGGTAAACCAGGCTATGTATGTGTTCCAAGTAGATCGGCCTCACTTACGACCTCATTCTAAAAAGCAGTTCCATAAGTCTTTTACACTCTAGAACAGTCAACAAAAATTAAGTGGGCAATCATCGTACATAGTAAAAGGAACCATTAAATTGTCCGAAGATCCTGTACTGGCAGCTCAAAATTTTCTAATTTGTCCCGGTAATCAATTTATATTTTGAATAAAATGCATCAATATTCAAGTTATCATATAAAAAATCTAAAAAAAAAATTTTGAAGTGTTTCAAGGTTCTTCAAGTTACATAATTACACCAGCATTCAATCCCAATGTCAAGCTAAATGCACCACCATTCAAATTTCAATTCAAAGTCACATTAAATATGTTCTGAACCTGTCCACATCCAATAGATCATTTGCAATATTACCATATTCCAAGAAACACGCTGAAAGCATAGTTACATAAGCTGTGCACACATCTCTTGTCTCTAGAACAGATTCAATGCCTCGCTGCTTATTAAATGACTAAAAAAAGACAGACAGACGCACGAGCAAACTGGCAATCGTTTCAGATTTTCGCTTTAAACAATTACTGCTGCAGATGCCAGGTTGTGCAACATGTGTAACTATTAGTGCAGTAAAAAAATTATCTTTTTTTTTTTGAGCCACTTACGGGGGACCAAGGGGAGAGCTGCCACTTGGGGCACTCCTCCATGGTGCAGGTCTTGGCATGTTCGGGCGGGTCCCCCTCGCACTTGATGTAGGGGGCCGCATTGTGACTCGAATCGAGGCACTCAATCTTGCGCTTCATCACTCCGGTACCGCAAGACACCGAGCACTGAGGTGAGAAACAAAATAAACCGTGGTCGACTCTATGTGTGCCAACAGAAGAGACCACGAGTGCAAAGGACTCCGGTCATTCGTGTAAATACGCAACAAGTTTGCAGTACATTACGAGGGACATGGTGCGTCTGGAACTTAAAACAACTGGAATGCATTTTGTTTCGGGAAGTTACCCGAAAGATGACGATCTCTGCATGCCCTTCGTAGCTGGCCGACGGCTAATACAATTGTCCCTCTTATATGCAAGATACAGGTGACGGGAAAGCGCAGCCGTAGCATATATTACACTCACAAACAGCGATTACAAAAATGTCGATCGAGATATGACAAATTATGGCTGCAAGAAGACGTCGTGTTCTAATGATCAATTTGTTAAATTAAGATAACACACGCCCAACACGCTCCAATTCGGATACTTTTGTGGCCGGAATGAATGCTTAGATTAGATGCCAAAAAAGCGCTGGATGGTCCAGGGTGCAGACCTTAAATAGCACCGTAACAAACTTTCTGAAATGTTTCCTAGACTAAACTAATCACAACACAAAATGAAGCTGAATACAAGGATATAAATATTGTGTCAAATTACATCGGGGACTTCACGGTAACTATGGCGCCTACAGTGCTCTTGACCGGTGCGTTTGTGGTGCCGAACTGGCAACAAATAATGTCGCAGCAGTTTGGCAGACTTCCCCGTCTCTTCTGCCATCTTGAGGCTACTGTCCCACTATCTACAGGGTGTTGAAGTTGCGGATGAAAACATTTAAAATGTCTCAAGAATGATCACACCTCCCGGCCACCCCCGTTCCGACACCACTCCCCGTGCATAAAGGAAGAAGGTGCGACAGCCCGCACGTACCGGAGACCAGGATCCGGAGTGCCACCTGTGGCTGAGGAGCGGGCTCGCGCACGAGTGGGAGTTGCAGGAGCGCCTTGACTCGGGCCTGGGCTGCGGGCAGTGGGCGTCCATCAGGGGGAGCCCCATCCTGCCCTGGCAGGCCACTTGGCGCGTCTGATGGCCCCCACCACACTCCTGGTCGCACTGCAACGGTAGAGACAAACGGGAGGCTTCGACACAGATCGGTGCCAAGCGAGAAGCAGGCGCCGTTGTGCTTTTGTGTCTTCTAGTTGCTTCGTGAGCTTGCAGTATGTGCAGAACTGTTTTTTTCTTAGCAATTTTGATAAGGTAAAATCTAAGCAGCCCTCTCGTAACAACACTTTTACGTAAAAAGTGGATTAATGCATTCAATGTGTACACACACGTTTATGCTGCTAAAACACGCAGATTTATGCCTCGCTAGAAAGTCGCTCCAACAAAATATAAAAGAAACTTATATACATATATTTTATTAACTTACTCGGATTAGTAAATCTCGTTAAATTTTGCAGTCTGACACAACCCAGTGTTAGGACTAGAAAAAATTAAACGATTCAACAGTAACTATACTACAACTTATGCACAGTGCAATATTGCTCAGTTAGAGCAGTCCATTTTGTTTTTGCTTAACCCCTTTGGTTTCCAACTACAGGGCAGCACTAAGATAAGAAGCTTCAGGCATTTGGGTTCAAGCGCGACCAACTGTGTCGCAACACGTCGCATTCAAGTGAGATGCGTTATGTGGATTTTGGACGCCACGGCAACCATCTCGCCGTAAGCAAGCTGTCAATCGCAGTAAAATGCAAGTGTCCGAATCTATCACTCAACGATGCCCCCGACAATGGGACAACCAAGAACCCTGACGTCAGGCACCAGCCGCTTCTGGCGCCACTAGGCCTCTGCCCCTCACCTGCGTCCACTCGCCCATGGCCCAGACTGGGCACTCGTCCGTGTTGCAGTGCTGCGTTTCGGGGGGCCTGAGCTGGGGGTTGCAGGCGTGGCTCTTGCTGTCCAGGTTGTCCACGCACACCACCTGCCGCCGCTGGACCCCTCCACCGCAGCTCTTGGAGCACTGCACGCAACGCACGCCGAAAGGGGACTAGGGTCATCGACGGAACTTGAAGGCCAGGGTCTCGAACACCTGACCTCCGGCACGCACTTCGTGCCTTCCGACATGCTTTGACTGCGCACACACGCTTAAGGTGCACGAGACGTTGAAGTGTCGTGGACGGTGGGAAGACGCTGGAGGCGGGGCTACCAAAGCTCCTCCCTGCCATTCTCACCTCGTCAACTATAAAACCACTAAATAAGCAACGCTCAAGGCCGCTTCACAAACTTGCGTTTGCTTACGACCTAGTTTTTGTAATTTCTTACAACGAAAGAACACACTGGTACGCTGGTGCCGTCTATAAGGTGGCCCTGGAACTGCCATTTGCTAGTTTTGCAGTCATTACGAGATCAAATGTATGTACTATTAATAAGAAACGGTTGTTTATAACATTGTCAAAAGATTTTCGAGATAAAAAAAAATAATAACAAAGCACGAAAAAAGATAGGAAAAAACTGATGACATCAGCTCGCTCCGTGAGACCAGTTAATGCTTTTGCATTAAAAAATGTAGAGCCCTTCGACTTCACGTAAAGATGGAGGACCAGCGAAGCTCTTATCCTTACAACGTCTAGGACGATGTCTAGAGGACCACGTCTAGGATGACTTCTAGGACGACTTCTAGGATGACCTCGAGGACGACGCCTAGGACAACCTCAGGGACAACGTCTAGGACGACCTCAGGGACGACGTCTAGGACGACCTCAGGGAAGTCTACGATGACCTCAAGGACAACTTCTAGGACGACCTCGAGGACGACGTCTAGGACGACCTCAAGGATGACTTCTAGGACGACCTCGAAGACAACCTCCCAGACGACCTCAAGGACAACGTCTAGGATGTCCTCAAGGATGACTTCTAGGATGCTCTCAGGGACGACTTTTTGTATGACGCCTAGAGAAATTCAGCCTTTCCACTCTGATGAAAACCAGAGTGGAAAGGCTGGAAAGGTTGCCACCATCTACGAGCGACGGCGGCAACCAGACAACCGGCAAGCCAGTTGTCTGGTTGCCGCCGTCGCTCATAGATGGCGGTAGCTGTCTGCAGTTTTGTGTCGACATTTGCTTATCCACGGACATCATATTGGGGAAACTAGCCCTTAGGGCTCAACTGTGATATACTAAAACTGCAAGTGTTCCACGGTTACCTGAAAAATGGCACCAGTTTCTTCTCTCGTAAGAGATCCCATAAGGGTTTGAGGCGCAAGGTCGTGAGTAGTTGCGAGTGTGTGGACTGGGAGCACTGACACCCCCATTCGCCGAATGTTTCGTGGGTGCTGCCTTTTTGTCGCGCGCGTTCCCCAATCGGGTTAATGTCGTTCCCCGGAATCAAAGGACCCACCGTGCCCCAGAGCCCGATGCGCCACTTGTACGGTCCCTCTACGAAGTTGCCAGACGGATGGTGCATTGCACTGGCGCCATCCGACATGATGCCGCCGGCGCCGCACGGCACCTGGCACGCCTGCTCTGACCGCGGCCTGGAGCTTTCCTCGCAGCGGTCATCCGGCAGGTGTTCTTGGGATGGGCTCGACGCCAGGCAGCGCACCCGGCGCGTCGCAATGCCCTGGCCGCAGCTCACGGAGCACTGAAACGGGAGAGGAGCAAACTCGAAATCGACTCGAAAGCAGTGGCACCGCAACTTTGCCCAATGTTTGCATGTTGTAGGATTGTGCGAATATTTGAATCTGCGAATATCAGTTTCGAATAATATGCTATTCGATATTTGCTTCGACATGAAGCGCGATATTCATAACTTTGTAAGTGTAGATCGCAGCGGGTTAGCCCTGTTGAGTGCGCTTCTTATCGAGCACCTGTGCACTGCGGAGAAACAACTCCTACGGAGCTCACTTTCACGGGTGTTGCTTCTTTGCAGTGCACCGGTGCTCGATAAGAAACATACTCAACCAGGCTAACTCGCCGCGATCAACGCTTCGAAAAGTACAAATACTGCAGTCCGGTGCTTAGGAGAAAAGCATGCTTTCAAAGCGCGATGGAGCACGCGCACGCTTTGTGTATTAAAAAGAAACGGAACCTTCATAAATGTTCATATCTACATTGCAGCAAAATGTTTTCACTTAAATTGTTTGTATTATGCAACAGAATTTTAGACAGAGGTGCCCTGACAATATGCATTCATCATTAGCGATTGCTTTTGTTTGTATTGATTTAAACATGAAATGTGTTTAATAAGTCGTTTTCCATCAGAAATTGTCATGGACAAGCGTCATGAACGACTGACATAATGTATGTCATGAATGAGCGACCCGCTGGGGGCGTTACACATTGTTAAGAATATATATAAAGCTCACAAAGGCCCATGTAAAACCAACACAAGAAAGACATAGGTTCGAGCCCCTTGGGGACGATAGCTTGACAAGTTCAGCTGGGCTTTCATTTAAGCATGGTGCAGTAGCGAAAGGCTTGCAGAAACTGGGATATTTGATTCAAAAATATTCGGTCAAAACGACTACCTTCGCATCGAACTTCCTTCGAACTCAAAATTCACTATTTGCACATGCTTAGCATATTTTATTTCAGTTTTCTCTGGTAAGCAGTTAATAAGAAATATAACAATAATAAATAATGATAGTTCTATGAACATATTTTTGAAATTTCCATAATTTTGTTTTGCAATGACTTGACAAGGATATCTGGTGTTGACATGAGTTGTTATATCTAAGTATAAAATACAAGATATATACGCAAAATACAAGCTAATTATTTACAAAATATTCAAAATTATTAGTAGGTATAAAATACAAAGTCAAAGCCACTATTGTTGAGTACAAATTAGTATGCACAAGTCCAATGCGTCATGCGTAAGTACATCTAAATTTAAAAAATTGGAATGTTAGGCCAAGAATTTTTTGTGCATATAACACTGGCAGTTTGTTAAGTACAAATTCCAGCCTAAAGGCTTAACCGCATATAAGCGATTTAGCGAACAACAAGACAAGCGACAGCGACAGGGATGTCCCACTGTCGCTCGTTTTTTTTTCTAGAAAACATTGTACATCGCCTTGGTCACTTGCTCCCATCGCTTTCATGCGGTCTGCCTTGTTGCACAACTGACCGAGTGACAGCAAAGCAGGTCGCCGTCGATTCTCTCATCGCTCGCCAAATCGCTTACATGCGGTTTATACATCACTCATAGAAAAGTAGGTGCAGCCTGGAAAATGTTAAGAAACAACAAAGTGGCTTTGATCCGTGGCACAGAAGCGACATAAGGTCAGCTTCTTAAAACATTGCGCAACCAGATCGAAATCGCAACAGAGCCCCCGCAATGTGCACAAAAAAGAAAATTTAAGCGATGAAAATGTGTCTGCACCTTCGAACCATCTGCCCAGACTATGGTCACTGACAGAGTGAGAGCAGCAAGGCATGTCTCCAACACTCAGCCCGAAACACCGAAGTGTCGTCGAAGGTAGTAAGCTCGCACTGGGGGCACGACAACTGAAGCTCCTCCCCGCCCTTCTCACCTTCTCAGTGGCTATAGTTCCTATTGGCTAGATCAAGCTGGCACTGTGTCCAGCTTGTTTTCTACACAGCTCGCTGTTTACCCACCACAAGGCACTTGATTCGTAATGCCATACTCCTCGATAGATCGCAAAACACGGTGTAACCTAAGATATGTTAACAATAAATGGAGTGACGTTGGCGGGACGTGACGGGTCGAATCTTTCCGTAAAGCAGTCGTCGAAGGATACGAGCTTGATCCACTTTGGTTTTTTGCCGAGCAAGCCGCATTGTTTATGCTGGCCAGAGTGGCTACAAAAGAGCCCTTCCTTGGGCAATAGAAGAACTAGAGCACCAGACGAACGACGACGCGGCGTTCGGTTACATCAGCCGAGCACCGCGACATTGTTATCGTCGTCCCCATGGCTGTAGTTCTAAAAATAGCCGCTAGGGGAGTGAAAATTGAATCTCCTTCCCAACGAACCAAGAAGGTCAATTAGGCAAAAGATGCGTTTGTGGCAGGCTCAACGAGGACCTGTCGAGCGTCAAAAAGCGAACATACGATGCCTGGAACATGTCTCCCACTGGTGAGTTCATTGTGTCCAAAAAAAGTGGTCCCTCAATTTTCGCCGGATAACGTCGAAGAAGTGTCACGCTGTCGCCGGACGCAAACCTGGTGGCATCCCAGAAGCGGTGGTGGATGTTGCAAACACCCGCACTGCCAAAGGTCACTTTTCATTTTGGCATTCCACAGAAGCTTCCGCAGCCAGGAGTTGGGACGACGGCAAAGCTCGCATTTGCTCCGAATTTCACCAGGATCGTGACAGACAGCATGACACCCTGGCGTTTCTGACGTCATGTGGTGCCACTTCAAGACCACCTTCGATGTACAAGCGGGATAGGACGCTCACCAGTCGGAGACGCGTTCCAGGCACCATACCGAACGGAGAAAACTCACGGCTCCCCAGTCCCCGTGCTGCCAGTGGCCGCAAGGTCCGCCGTCGCAGGCCTCCGCAGTGACCGGCTTGGGTCCCCGGCCGTTGCAGTCTTCGTTGGGCAGGAGGGCCCCCGTGACCTCGTGGACGCAGCTCACCTGGCGCTTGATGAGGCCGCTGCCACACGACACCGAGCACTGCATGCGCAGAGGACGCGGTCGGCAGTAAAAATGGTTGTGAACGCTGGTTTGCACACTCGGTACTGCTTACAATTGAGTGCATTACGACCTCTCGGGGTATCTTACGAGGAGAGAACACACTGGCACGCTGGCACCATCTATGAGGTGACCCCGGAACTGCATTCCACTAGAGGGGGGGTTTTTGCCAAATTTGCAATAGTAAATGGACATACTCTTTATGAGAAATGGTCACTTATAAGAATGTCGAAAAGATTTTAGAGCCAATAATAAAAGAATAATTTGTGCAAAAGAAATATTTAATATATTTTAAGCATTTTAGTTACATCTGTGGCTTGGATAGTTGGTTAATTAATATTTTTCTTGGTAATATTGCATTTTGTGACATATACAGGCTACCCTGGCAATTTTAGCAGAAGTGCCTTGTCCCTCGCCGCCATTCGGCAAAACATCTTTTCCACAAAAGCTGGATGAGTAAAGGCGGTAAACGGTCTCCTTAGCTACCGCAGAAAGAAGGCCGAGAAATAAAAGGCGCCGACCTGAGACCATGGGGCCGACCTCCAGACGGCGTAGGTGGAACTGGCACCCTGCGTGGCCTGCTCGGGGAACGGCAGCGAGGCAGAGGTGACGCCGTTTGTCCGCTCCGGCGGCGGCACGGGGGAGGGCTGCCGCTGGGGCGGGGGGCACGGGGCAAGGTTGCAGTCGACGGTGGTCGGGGGTTGCGGAGAGCCCCTGCAGTGCATGCTGTCCACCACGGCACCGCTCGAGGAACGGCACGTCACGTTCCTCTGCGTGACGCCGCCGCCACACGAGACGGGGCACTGGAGGAGGCCACATGCGAGAAACACAGTTGAATTGCGGGAATGAGAGCTCCAACGTCCTACATTTCTTCCCGCATCGATCGTAGCCATGAGGTCGGTACTCCAAATTTCAGAATGTTGTCTTTTTGGTTCTCTTTTAAACACCAAGTGTCAAACGATCGGAATTGCCTTCACACTTCGATCGCTGCCATCACTGACATTGTTTTGTTTAAAAACGCTCTTACTAATATATGCACTCTGTTTTGTTTTTTTTATTAAATTTTTTTCTGTGTGTACTATTTTGAGGCTATTTTAAATAAATAAATATGCTTAACTACTCAGTCCCCAACAAACTCATGCTCGTACTGCTGAGGAAAAAAGTGGGTCTGCGAGACGGTTTTGCAGAGACTGCATGTTCGCGTAGTGGCTGTATCTAGTATGTTTGTATAGTCACTGACGAGGTGAGAACAGGGAGGAGCCTCACTTGTCCCGCCTCCAGTGCACTCCTATACCTTCGACAACGCTTGAGCATCTCCTGCGCCTCGAGTATGCGGGAACGTCCAAAGCAGGGCGAAAGGCATGAAGCGCCTGCTGGAGATCTGGCATTCAAATGATACGCCCTGCCATTCTCACTCTGTGACTGTAACGTAATGTAACCCTTCAACAATCTTTTTTTTACTGTTTATTCATTTTCTTTGAGTAGTGCTTTTTCTGCATGCACGTCTGCACCCTAAAGAAAAGCTCTGGAATAGATTTTTCTGCAGGACAGTTAGCCTGGTTGAGACAGTGGATGTAAGATTGCAGACTTTTAGAATATGTATCTTGAATAGTGCCCCATTCAAAATCATGCATTGAAGTATACGAAAGTGTGTATAAAGGTCTTGAAAATCTTTGAATGAAGTAAGCGTGTGTTTGGACGAACTTTCAGCCTTGTTCAGTGCAGTTCTCTGGCTCCAACAATACATTGCAGGAAAGAGAAACTGCCAGTTCTCAGTAACAAGACAGTAACACATTTCTTTCTTCACAGTTAAATGCAGTTTGAGATCTCGTAAGTCAGTAACAAAACAGAATACTACCAACAAATGAAGAAATTCATTGAAGTCCTGAAATTATGCAATAATTGCAATGAGCAATCAGCGCATCAAAAATCTTTCACACACTAACATGCAGCATACAACTAGAAAATCAACTTGCAGATGTTAGTAGTGCTACAGCATAGTGCAACAAGCAAGCTATAAATGGCCAATTCTAGTCACTAGCATGCAAAACATGTGATGCAAGAGTGTGGTATAATTATGTAATAAAACTTATATTCATCCTAAATATTTATGAATCATTTATGTATGCAACTTATGTTCATCACATTCTCAATCTGCTGTAAACCAAAACATTCCCCACCTGCTCTTTTTCTGCCCCAACTGTCCCAGCCTGGTCAAAGCTAACCACAGCTCCCCAAACTCTCTACCACCAAGCCTAAATATTATACACAGCTTTCAGAAGAGTCATCTAGTGAAGGACAGTTAAGAACTTTTTTTTCTAAGGCAATTTTATTTGGTCATGCTTTTTGAAAAAAAACAAGTTCTTAAAAACTTTTTTTTTTCAGTCTAATTCTAGTAGTCTATCATTATTAAATCACATTGTGCAACATTAAACGGGAGTTAAGTAAGGGCAAGCAGCAATTTCGAGATGTCCACATAAGCTTAAATATGCGACCTCGAGTATGACTTCTCATACTCGAGTTCTCATATTTACTCATACTCAAGTCCTCACATTTGAGTATGAGAACCCATCTCGAGTATGAGTTCCCATACTGAAGTATGAGTTGTTTCCAGAGTGTTTGAAGGGAATCCAGTCGAGGTGAACCTAACATTTCTGGTACCAGGGTGGGGGACTTACAGGTGCCTCTTTGCCCACGTGCCAGTCGGCAGTTTCGCAAGGCGCCATTTCGCAAGGCTCTGCGTCGACGGGTCGTGGCGCCGGGTGGCAGAAGTGCTCGGCCAGCACCTTCTCTTGCTGGCACCAGAGCGGGCGCCGACGCAGGCCCGACCCACACGTCACAGAGCACTGCAGTCGCGGGCATGCACACGCTCAAGCAACGGGCCGACGTCGACGATCAAACGGCCCTTCAAAATGGTGCATCAAGGCAGACCGGTCTTGGGTAAGTTACTTTCAAGAAGTAGTTTGTTATAGTTACTTTCAAAAAGAAATAATTAAGTTAAACCGTTGCAGTTTTTTGCTGCAGCTACTGCAACAAAAAAGTAATTTGTTACAGTTACTTTTAAGTTACTTTTTCATAAAGCTACAAATTTGAAAAAAGTTGAAAATGCCTCCCCCCCTTCCCAGTTAATTACACAATGTGCAAGTAAAGTTGGCACAAGCTGACACAAGGTAAACATAACACTCCAAATGTTGGAACACAGCATTTAAGGCATGCAAGAAATGGCCATATTCTACTCGTTCCTTGATATCTTAATGCTGAAGAAATAGCAAAAGGCAACGACAAGAGTAATGTCATTGTTGTCGTTACTGCTTCAGGAAAAGTGATAAAACTACAGTTCCAAGTAATATTTCGAAAAGGCATAGCATGTTACAGTTAAAATTTATCAAAATAGCAACGACGTTACAGTAACACGTTACTTGTAACATGCTAGTACACAAGACGGGTCGACCCTGTTCCAAAGGCCCCAGATAGACGAGCACATTTCAACATACTCCAGTGGCATGCAGATCAATTCAAATTTTTAAGCAGGACTACAGTGGCATGCAAACGATGCACGCTACCAAAATGCAGGTGTGAAGAAAACTTGCGTAAGTACAATGGGGAACACTTGTGAAAGATGTTAATTAAATCTAAGTCCACAATTTCAGCCGACCAGATGCATGCATGAGCAGATATGCAATGGCCAAGTTCCACTTTCTTTTGAAACCAAATTGGCCCTATAGCTGGTTTTAATGTACCAGTCTCAATGTTCTTTTTCCTTATTTTGCTTGTACGGATGACAATCAATTCACTGCCTGCCTTCTTATGTATATGCAAGCATGAAAAACACATATGGGAAGACTGTCAATCTCTTTAGACTTAGCACGTGTGAACTCATATATTCTAGAAGCAGACTTTATAGTTTGCAAAATAAGAACAATATAGACATATGCAAAGGTATAAAACTGTAAATATTATTCTAATGATAGTGTATACATAACTGAACTTCTAATAAAATATCAAAATTTAGGCATTTTACAAAATTTTGTATCATTTTTTAATTTTGAGTGTGCTTCCCCTACGGTGCACTGCGGCAAAGCGAGTGCTGCAACAGTTTTGTGGGTGACGCTTTCCCTTAGTGCAGCAGCGCAATTAGGGAAGAGTACACATCCCAAGCAGGTCTATGTGCTTTCATTTTGCAATTAGCTTTTCGTACATAATAGAGAGCCATAGTTTAAAAGTAGGTCCACTGCAATTACAAAAGTGTATTACAGGCACTTAGCTATAGGATTTTTATCCCAAAGAAACAATGTCAAACGATAAAGTAGCGGCATATCTGAGAAATCCACATTCTCAGAAATAAACTAATTTTGGTCGACACATTGGAACGTGGCCGAAACTCACGAATGTTAGGAAATCAAATGTTCAGGACGCCAGTCATGCAACGGCTGCTCGCGTCACTATGCATGCATCTGTTAGGTATCGCACGATTCTCACGGTCAATTAGTACTTCACACCCGAGAAAAAAGCTTTGCATCATCTGCAATGCGCTCGCTGAATGCGTGGACCCCTTACCTCGGTCCACTGTCCCACCTCCCAGCGCGGACAGTCCGCCTGGTTGCAGGGGCGCTTGACGGACCGTGTGGATGCGTCGCACTGGGAGTCCGGATGGGCCTCCTGGTTCTCTCCCACACAGGTGGCCGTGCGCACTTGCTCCCCGCCCCCGCAAGTCTTGCTGCACTGCGCGACACGGAGCAGTGCAAAACAGGTTCAAACTTCTTTTTCGGCACTGCCACACCGAATCGCTGAGTGGCAAGTTCTACGAAGAACACTACGAAGAAGCTCTAGTGCTAGACAAGGTGAATTAAAAAGTTATTAGGTTTCCCAAAAATAGAGGCTTGGCATGCAGGCCAGGTGTGCCGGCTGGGTTTGAAAATCGCACAATGAAAACGGAAGGATGAATAAAGGACATGCTATGAGAGAGATTGCTTAAAGGTATTGATGTAAGGTACAATATATTTAAGATGGAAAAATTAAGAATGAGGAAAATATACAAAAATCTCAAATCTCACATTTTTACCTAATCTGTTGGGTCTAGAACCTCAGACTAAGGCTAAAAATCTATGGTCGAAAACCCCAGTCATCATTCCTAACATCAAAGATCTATAGGCAAAGATCTTAGATTAAGAATCAAGGTTTCTAGATGAAGAGTTTAAGTCTAGACATAGAGATATAAGATTTAAAATTGAAGCCCCGAGGTTAAAGGTTTAAATGCCGAGATCTGACATGAATAACAACTAAGCATCAGGGGTTAAGGCCCAAGAGTTAAGAGACCAAGATCAAACCTCAAGTACTTAAAATTTAAGGCTTCTAATGTAACCCTTTGATTCGGCAAACCAATCCAATGTACAAAGGTGCATGTGCACATGACCTGTGTAATAACATCCTAGTGACGGCTTCAAGAGCAGTCTAGGCCTCACTTCGACAAACCACGCAAAGGGCCGCTGCAATGTCCCAGAACAAACCAAAACCAGAATAGGTACTTTTCCGCAGTTGTGCATGAGTGCAGCCACAACTGACCACTTTTTGTTTCCTTTTCTTCTATTTATTTTATTATTTATTTACTCCCTCAGTGCCCGAAGGTTGCTCAACAAATCAATGACCTTTTAGGCACCACAGTGTTGTCATCCCTAATGCAGGATTAGTGTGAATTTCTCAATACACATTTCAATGGCTGGGCATCTTGGTAAAGCAACAGAAGGTCAGTTACGGCATTAAGATTATCTGGTGGGCTAGTTCGCTATGAATCTCGGTAAACTTAGCGTAAAGACAAGGAAGGAAGAACGTAGAGACAGGAAAGAGTGCTACTTACAACTGGCGTTTAATACTAAGTGAGTTCTCTCACTCAGTATTAAACACCAGTTGTAAGTAGCGCTCTTTCCTGTCCCTACGTTCTTCCTCCCTTGTCTTTATGCTAAGTTTACCAAGAGTCAGTTGCGGCAACTCAAGTTTGGCATGTGGGAAAAAATATTCCTAGAGAAAAAGAGTTCTTTGAGAGTCCTCACGGGAGCCCAGTCGTCGTAGACCCATCGGAAGCTGTGGCACGGCCGACCGCACTTCTCTGTCTCGGGGGGCTTGGCCTTCTCGGGCTCACAGAGGGCATCTGCCACTACCCGCTCCTGGGGCTGCCCGTCCGTCTGCTGCACACACTGCACCTTCTGTGTACGCACCCCCGTGCCGCAGCGTGCTGAGCACTCCGACTTCTCGCCAACCTTCCACCTGCAAAGGAAAAGGGCGCACAGAATGGAATTTAAACTGGCAGGGGAGTCGAATGGTGTAAAATAAGTCTTTCATTATGACAAAGCGTACAGAATGGAATCTATAGCAGGGGGTGTCAAAAGGGTGCAAAATGAGTCCCTTTTGTTATGGAAAAGAGTGTGAAGAGTGGAATCTACCCCAGCAAGGGAGTTTAAGGGTTCGAAACAAGCATCTCTTATTGCCAGCCTCCTCCTATGCTATGAGCACCTAAGCATAGGACAGAAATCAAGTCATGCAGGGGAACAACTACAGTAAGCTACAGTGCAAACCAGGAGTTAAATAAAACACCCCAACACCATATAAGAGATTAAATTTAAGCACATAGCACGGGGACAGTGGTCATAAACCACAAGCATGCTGGAACAATAATTCAGTTATTCAGCCAGCAAGACATCAACACCTTGAACCTGACTCGTATGGCTGCACATGTTGACTGTATATAAATATTAGATAGATTAATGTTTATTTCTTACCAGACTGCGGACACCACCAACAACAGCCATAAAGTAGAATTAGCACAGCTACCAGAAATACAATGGTGCTCTGCCCTTCCTCTAATCTAGCAAATTGTACTATGTATTAATTATTTAATGCACAAGATCACCGTAAAAGCTGGTCCATACAAGCATAGCAACAGCCAGACTATGAAGCCCAAACAAAATAGTCTGTGTGGGTTCCCACCTGAGGGTGCAGTGAAGGTTGCAGACTTCAGCCAAGGGCTGAGGCCGGGAGCCGGGGTGGCACCTGGCTTCCTCCACACGCATGCCGTCCAACCGCCGCTTGCAGTGGGCTTGCCGGTATCGATGCCCTGTAATCTCAAGGGGACAAATACTCCCTTGGTCATCAGGCATTTGTTGCCACGCAAAACTACGGTTACATGTGAAAGCCATTTGCACCCGACCATTCAAAAAGCCCCACTTGCAATCAGAATGTCAACAACAGCTTTAAAGCTCAAAATCTTAAGTGCATGTAAGGTACATAAGTTTTGTTGGACCTCTGCTCAATTCATGAAACCCTTAGTTGGCGAGTGATGCAGGACATGCAAGAGCTGTCGTGGAGCGAAAGGCATGGAACAGATTGAGCTTGGAACGAGTCAGTTTGGGCGTGAACATCGGCTTTTGATGAATGGCCCCATTGCGACTCCAGCATTCCAACCGGACAAGCAGTGACTGAGGTTACCACATACCTCAGATTAGGAGCCCACAGTCCCATTTGGTAACTTCTAAGCAATCATAAAATGAAGACCCAGAAACAGCTTCAGATATATTTCGCAGAACTTTATGAGGTACTGTAAATATCTGCAAAATATTTGGAATGCAAAGGAGTCCTTGGGGAGACTCGGACTGGACCACAACTACCAGAAAAATAGCAATGCGAGTGGCTTTGAATCTTCTCAGTAGAATGCGGCGCTAATATTTCCCAGACCCAAACAACTGCCGCTCGTTGTCACCTCACGTTGATCAAGGGCTTGCCAGCACAGTTGTCACATACCTCCAGCACAAGAGAAAAATGTGTCTGTGGTGCGAAAAGCAGCTCCCACACTTTGTTTCACTGAGTCAAAGCAGGATCAACGGCTATAAGATATACAGGCGCATTGACGAAATGTGCAAGGTCATGGTATGTGCGCCATCCCTGATCAGTCCAGCCGTCGACAGAACAAGCACAAAAGGACGACAAGCACCTTAATGTTGCACTTAATGACGCTGCTTGACTGGTTCCATGAACAAAAAGTGCTGGCTGCGTTCCTAATGAAACAAAGCAGAGGGTGCTGCCAGCTCAGAGTGTGAGGCCCTCACCTTGGCAGGGTCTGCTGCACTCGGTCCACTGGGGGCTCAGCTCCCAGACGTATTGCTGGTCGTCCCGAATCGACACCGTGTACTCGTAGCGGATGTCCGGAGACTCTACCTTGCCCACAGTCAGGACCTGGGGACAAGCCCGTGGAAGAGGAATGTGGTAGAAGCAAAAGCTCACCACTCGAGGGAAACATTCTATATGTCATTGCCGACGGCGTAAGCCTGTTCCCATATTCACCGCAGCACTAACTCGGTGCTGACCTTGCGCCGTATCATAGCTGCATTGGAGGTCCATTGCCTTTTCCAGCAGACATACATAACGCAGCATTAACCGAGTGCCAAGTCAGCACTGACGGTAGTACTGATGCAGCTCTCACTACACAGTTATTGAGATGATGCATTAGCCATCACCTCACTAACTGCACTGACTAGATTATGCAAAAATATTAGACACTCGCTGTAATCGATTAAAATATTGGTGTACTCAATTGAAATTTGATGTTTTTAAACAACTTAGATGTATTCAACATTTGAAATTGTTGAAAACTGTGGACACTGTGCATAGCAGAGAAGCTAAACCTGTGGCAGCGATGTTGCAGGTGGTACTTTTCCACAGTACAGCACTGGATGAAAGCAGACACGCTTTTCCAGGCAAGTTTGTGCACCTGAATTTTGAAGCCCCATTTATTTTACTATGCACATGTAAGAAGATTTCTCATGGGAGCAATCTAAGGAAGCATCATCCTGCAGCTCAGCACTGGTATATTGAACGTTAACTGGGGCTCGAGCTCTTACGTGCGAGTGTCTTCCATATCAAGTGCTTTCACTATCTATTGTATATAGTCGATTCTGTTGGAAATAGGACGAGACGTTACCATCAAGTGGAGCTCCTTGCCCAAAGGCTTTGTGGCATTGATGCGTTCGATGGAGGCATTGGAGCCGCTGTATTCAATGATGGTGCCTCCGTAGCGCAGGGTCTTGCGGAACATGCTGACGGTGAAGTTGCCGTTCAGCAAATACTCGTCCTCTGCACTCTTCAGCGCTGACAGCCAAAACAAAGATGGAGACTTAGAACACACTTCTGCAGCATAGGGTAGGTTTGCTCATACTTCAACTTGTCTATCAGACATAGGAAGGTTTTATTTAAATCGCACGATAACAAAACCTTCCAACTTACTCACCTTCCAAGTTATGGTGGGTTCACTCAGCAGTGGCATAATATAGAGTCCCAAAAATTTTGATATAAACAGTCAATAATTTAAAAAAAAATTCTGCCTTGCAAATTTATTAAGGTGAATTTGACTGTCGATTCAATGGTACCCGATAAAGTTGTGAAGTGTCACCTCATCCTTGTTCAACAGACTTCTTGCATTTTTAAACAGTAAGAAATTACTTAAAAAGGGACCATTTTAAATTTCTACACACATAAAATTATGTTTTGAAAGCTGCCGAGGTATAACAGACCTCTAAAATACATCTAAGAGGAACTCTAAAACCAAATACCGTGGAAGCCAATACTGGCAACTCCCGCGGAAAACGGGCGAAAAGTGATTGCAGCGCCCCTGGCGAGCTCGGAGTCTCCGCTGGCAGACAAATTCTCCGAAATGCATTGGTTTTGCCTATCTCCGTGCGAGGTGACCAACGAAAAAAAATTGTCACGGACATTCGCTGCTTTGAAAGTTAAAAAATGGGTGCCAGCTCATGAATGAAAGACATTCTCTTCCCGCGGGAAAGATGTTACAGCTTTCTGGGTGCAATTTCGGAGTTCTCCCGAAGAAAACATTCTGTCACAACTTATGTAAGCCAAGCAAAACACGAATGTATGCCTTCGCGCTGTTTCGTGAAAAAGGGAAATGTACAAACATTTCCGAACATAGCTTCGTTTCAAGTTTGTTGTTCTTATCAGTCAATTCGTTTTGTCGTTGCAATTCCCGTTTCTCATCAGTGTCTTGCTTATAACCGTTTCGTCGAACAGGCGAGCTGGCTAATCCCGTTAAGATCGTCTCCGGATGAAGAAGCAGAAGTCAATTTCGAACCACGTACGTTACGGCGATGTCAGTATGCTCCGAAAGAAGGCGTTGTGCATATGCAAATCTGACGCGATTATAGATTAACAAAAGCGGAGTTACGAAAAAAGCAGACTTCTCGCGCTTGCAAAGAAAGAAGGGAAGAGCGTCGTAGCCCCGCGAAAAAAATTTCAGTCACGTTATTTACAGTGCACAAATTCCGATTGTTAGCGCGGGGACGACCAACATCTTCTGCTTCGCTGCTTCTTTACTTCTACGATAAAGGCCGACACCCGTTGAACCGTCTCCACTCTTTTCATTTTTGAGTCTTCTTTCTTTTATATTTTTGAGGCGACGGCACTCTGCCGCGTTATTTCTTCCTTCTGCTTATATGTTGCTGTTTGCTTTTTTTTTTTTGCCCGACGTGTAAACAATCGCGTATCCTTGCTTTGTTTGGCTTAGTTTTTACTCCCTTTCCTTCGCTTCGGCGCTTACTACCCCCGGTTGGTCTGCGCTAGGCCCGGGCATTTTGAGGGCCGTCTGCAACTTTGCTGTTGTGTTTGTTGTTTTCTTCCACTGTCGTCTCCGATAACCTCCTATTTTCGCCTTCGATTGAGTTTCTAATCTAAAATCGTCATACGTGCTTTTTGATATTTATTAAATATATTAAGAAGTGTAAGCTCGTTACCCATTTTTATTCGAATGTTATTTGTGTACTCCGGCCGGCGCGTCTGCTACGGGTCATCGTTTGTTGATCAACCGGCCGCATTCAAGAACAAGTTTGTGCGATGTGGTGGAAAATCTTTCTTCTGCTTCCTACATCGACCTACGGACACCTACGTCAACAAGTACTTGAATGCACTTTTAAACTGCTTCGTCAAGCGAGCGAACGAACAACCCGCAAAACTCACTGGAAAAAGAAATTCGAAAGCAAGAAAAGGTTACTCACTGCTAGCACATATAGAAGATTGCTGCCTGCGACCAAAACATTTCTGCGACTCTTTTTTACCGGGCAGTGTGAGCTGCACTACGTTATTTATTTCCCCTGTTTTGTTTTTAGTTCGTACCTACGCCGCGAAAGCAAATAAAGAAATGTACAACAAGCAGCTAAAAAAAAAAAGGGTCGCTTTCTTCTTTTTTCATTAGTTTCGTCTGTTGCTTCCGCTTTGTTTGTCGTGAACTCAACACCGGTGGCGACCACCAGCTATTCATTTGCTGCTTTCCATTTTTCTTTCTTTTTTCTATAAGCGCCGCAACGATCGTCGTCGTTGAAATAGTTTTTTGCTAGCTTCTTTGTTTTATTCGCCGTTGTTCGCTTCTCTTTCCCGTTTCTTCTTATTTTCGTCGGGAATGGCGACACCATTTTTTCTGCAAAGTTCGGTAGGTGTTTGCACGTTCATTTTTATCCTTACTTTTTGTTTTGTTTTTATGCTCCAGCAGCTCGTGCGCTTGCTCTGATAATATTAACATGTCGTTTTTGCATGTTTTAACGATTACGACGTAGTTCGAGTAGCTTAACGCCTTTTTTCCGCTTCCCAGACGCATTTCAAATGCGTGTGATCCCCTGGGAGGCGTTTGAGGCCGCTAAATAAACTGCTCTATCTTTGGTTATGCGCGCGTTGTTATTCGATTGTCATTGCAGTTGCGATCAGTGGATTCCGCTTTGCAAGCGAACTGACCGTAATAAATTGTTTCTGCTGTTAGGGTGACGATACGGGGCTTGTAAAGCTCGAGGACGTCGCGGAGCCTATACTTTTCCATTGCGACGACTGCTTCCGTAGACTCCGAGTCCGCTAGAGGCGCCACTGTCACGTTCGCCGCCGCTCCTATGTTTTTTCGGAGGAGTTTCCAGTATTGGCGAAGCTATATTGTATTTGCTAAAACTGCACTATGCAGATAGCGATTTTTCTGGTCAACTTTACGACGTAAGAAATGTATAGGACAAACAGGCATGATGACAAGTTGCAATATCAGGAGCTCGTCGGAAAAACCAGGCATGCATTACATCTGTCTTAAAGCAAAGGTTTGCTATTAAAGGCCCTCTCCTCTACCTTGAATTTAATAGTTCCCAACTGCCATAAAATGCCAATCTAATTGCAGCGACAAAAGTTTTGAAGAAAGTTTGTCTTCAGTCATTCTCAAGCCCATGAATGGCACCCAGATTAATAAAAAAAAAAAAACACCTCCGTTTCCGATATTTTCTTTTTTTTATTGTCTTTTGAAAGCATTTTATACTGCATCCAAGATATTTCAATCATTTTAAGCAAACTTTGTTAAAAATGAATAGTTTCAGTTCAAAACTTGTTTGTGAGTATTCATGTGATGCTGTTATTGCTCAAGGTAATTTTCTTAACCACTTCATATGTAGACAGCGCAATACCTTGGACACTGCCTTGAACAAGAAGTTACCAGGGCAGACTTTCACAGGGTTTCCAGACCATAAACATTGAGCAATAATAAAGTGAGTGATTTAGGTGCCTGATTTCACAACTAAACAAAACATCCATAAGGCATGCAGACTGGACATATAAAAAGTCAATACCACTCACCAAGATAGTTGTCATCTTTTTCGAACCCAAACTGACGAACATCGACAAAGCTGGCGCCAGCCGGAATTTTGGCGACAAAGTTGTAACCTGGAAAACAGAAAAGTCGCAGGTCGCAAAAAAACTGTAGGAATGGAACCAAAATCGTAAGTAGAACCTCATTAATATGTGTTTCAGCCGACCACAGTAAAACAAAAATGTACAGTAAAATAAAAATGTACACCTCCCATTGACCAGGAAGACGTAAAACCGGTAACGCTAGTAAGGGACTACATATTAGATAGGCCATAGCAGAGCCGTATATGTAGAGAGTTTGGCCATTCGTTGGGAAGTATAGGAGACAAATGAGGAGGCGCCATTGGTCGAAAGCGGGCTGGGCGTGTTCCAGGGCGTCTTCAGAAATTCGAATGTGACCAACCAGAAGCCGGAAATAATACCCTGGAGGTGGTCCCGAGAAACAAACCTGATAATTGCTTCGGAGTGACTCTCGGTGACTGAAAATATGGTACACGTGATGTTTCAATCACGCTCATTCAAAATGATGGTGGAAGAGTGCGACTAGCGGAACGATCGACATACCCCTCACGCCAAGCACAGAGGGCCGGGAATCTGCCATCCGAGCAGTCACACTCTGTCCGAGCAAAACAGAGTTGAGCGGCGCATTCGTTTCTTACATTTTTCTGCATGATCATAATCAAAACATCACGTGCATTCTATTTTCAACCGCAAAGAGTTATTACACTTCACTCTTACACCCTTATTAAAAGCATATACAAACATATACCTTTGATCAGAGCTGTTTCTTACTACCACCGCAAGGGGATTCATTTTGGTTTCTGGTTGGTCAAGAGAGCATGCCAAGCCCTCTTTCCGAGTCTAGCGCACGCCCTGGCTCTGCCCGCACCTCCCATTGACCAAACTCTCTCTATAAACGGCTCGGGGCTGTAGCTCTTGCATGTGAAATTTATGTCACATGATCTTTCATGGCTATGGAGGACAACAGTATTTATTCTAACAGATGTCAATTTGTTTCCTTTATCTAAAATTAGGGCCATGTATATAATTGTAACAGGAGAATGCCGATGTGCACAAGCGAGGGGGGTGACACAAAAAAGCCACCGCCACCGCTACGAGTGTATAGTTGCGAAAAGGCATGCAGTTGTGACGTGCTTGAAATAGACTAAACCAGGTCCCAGACTTTCGCCATGGTTTCGCTTCATGCGCGAATCCCAAACACACCTATCAGACCTGCGTACGTGAATGTGACAGTCAACGTTATTCATGATACATTGAAAACGCATCAACAAGGTTCTACTAGTACTTTATATAATTGCAACATTGCCGTAATCTCGGCAAAGCTGTTGGTTTCGAAGCCGCTTTGAAAACGTTCACGATCGCTATTTAATAACTCATAAAAAAAACTGCTAGGAAAACAAAGGTTTTAAAACAGTTCGAAGCTACAAAATACTACTTTGCCTAGTACAAACGTGTTTATGACGACCCACCCAAAGACAACAACACATGCATAGGAAGCATTTGCGGAGCTAATCAAAATGTTTTCAAATGAAGGCTCACCAAATTCAGCTCGGTACTTGGCTCGACTAAAGTCTCCGGTGATTGTCCTGCAGGTGGCGTTATCCCCCCGACAGACTCCACACATGTCGGTAGTTGCTGTCGAGTTGAGCTGGTGGTCACATCCAGCCGACTGCATGCATTCAAGAGATGCCACTGTGATCCCTTCATTACAACATGCAGCAACTGGGCCTGTTTTCTAGTCCTGCTTGAGAATGCTAAAGATGACTAAAACATTTCTGGACATGCTTTCTGCCTTTTAGAGAGCACTATGCTTCCAACATTGGCTAGAAGTTTCTGGAAAGTATTTCTTCGCAATGTGTGCCATGGAAACTGAATCATCTTTAGAGAAGCTAGTTTTCAAGGGTCTGATTGGTTCAGGAGCTCTCTCATCCAACTGATGAGATAGGAATCATTTGTTCAGGTTGCAGCATTACCAGGAGTGCCTGCGATACCTACTTCACCCATTATATCAAGCCACCAAATTTGCTTCGTCTCACCTCCAAATTTCCAATATTCTTTTAAGGATTCCAGAGCAAACTTCCCTTAACAAATTTCTCGGGAAGATGCAAAGTCTGCCTAATGTTCAGTGTAGTGCCCAAATGTTGCCCATGCTAAAAGACAGGGGGTGCTAGGTAGGATTCTCACCTTGCAGACGCCGTTAATGCAGACGTCAAACGACTCCGGATTGCAGGCTGTGCCATCGATCACCTTCTCCTTGAGCAGGTAGTAGGCGCTCATGCCAACCACGCGGCAGTAGAGCTTGCACGTGTCCACATGGGAGACTGGAAACCACCGGCAGTGCACAACACACGCTTGTGACGAAGCACCAAACAATGACAGCTTGCACCCATACATGTATGTCAATCCAGTATGCCGGTCCCTAACCTAATATTTCCATTTAATGCCCCCCCCCCCCCCCCCCCAAAAAAGATTTTATTTTTTATATAAATTTTTTTTCTCGTCCTCAAAAATCATTTGCGATTTTATGCGAAGTGAAAGACATGGCAGAAATCCGAAGGCAAACATATTTTGAAGGATGATTTTGACCCTCTAGCCCTCATGTAATGAAGGCCCATCATCTAATGAACTCCACCTCGTGGAACTGCAACGACCGAGCAGCCTGATCAAAGCAACAACTTACTGCCAGAGTAATGCGCGGTCCACTTGGCGTTCGTGGGAACATCGGGAAAGTTGAATGTCTTGCCATTAAAGGCGGAACACTGCTCTTCCCTGAAGTCCATGGAACCAGCTGGGCACGGCTAGAAGGCAAGGGGCGACGAATGACGCACTCCGCGGAGAGAAACGTCACGGCGGCCAGCAGCGACTCCCAGTGACTAACCTCAGTGTTGCAGGAACGGTACCTCACTCGTTCACCCACGCAGTATTTGCCCCCAAACGCCGGCCTGCAACGGAGACAATTAAAGCAAAAATGTGATCACTCGAACAAAACATCCCGACTCTAGTTGGCGACAGGTTAAAGGGGTACTGAATTCAAGCTTAAGATATACCTCTCACGTTCAGAAATAAGTTAAACATGATCAACTCTATCTGCTGACAATCGCACGCTTGTATTTCAAACAGATGGCTGTATTTTTCGTTCTAAATGTTCGATCCTGGTGAGCACTTCAAAATCAGCCACCAAAAAGCTCGGAGCCTCCCAGAATGACAGTCGCACCCGCGACTTGCCCGCGACGTCATCGCGCTCCCTAGGGCCAAGCCATAGGCTATGGCCTACCGTAGTTATAAGCGCTGACACTTGGTGGCATCGACGCATTACTATCTCGCTTAGTCAAAGCACCCAAAGGCTATAACATATCACCGGGAGATTGCTGAGCCAGCAGTTGCGCGTGCCATGACAACACGTAGTGCATTGTCTGCTCCGCGACTTGGCCGATATGGTGACATCGGCAACACCAGCTTCCGGCTCGAGCTCTCTGCTCTTTGAACAGCGAGACATCGTCACGAGGCGGCTAAGGTGTACCTCTGTTATCTCGCAGAAGGCAAGATGCTGGTAGATTTGCTACCTCTTGTTATCGAAGGTGACGGCAGGATCGTGCGACATTGATAGGACGAGGCAATTGCTGCTTAACTGATTTACCACCGACTGATCACAACGACCCCACTTGATGAGGGCACCAGCTTCACGGATGAATAAATATCACTTTGGAGGAGCCATACCAGTTGGCGGAAACATGCCAAGTCCAGTGAGGCTGCAAGGCGCGGTGTATCGCATCGATAGCGGTGTGAACGCAGCATTGTCACGCCACCGCGAAGAAACGCTAACACCACGGCGATTTTGCACCTCCACCTCATTCCACCCCAGCAGGGTGAACGCTGGAGACGAGGCGACTTCTCCAGCGTTTGCTTTGCTGATCTGGAAAGAGGTGGGAGGAGCTTCCTCTGAGCACCTCCCAACTTTTGGCAGAATTCAATTAAGTTTGATTTTGACCAGTGTCGCCCGACCTGCATGCAAATATTTAACATTCTGGGGAAAAATGATTTATAGAGTAGATTGTCTTAATTGTTATACAATATACAAGCACATATATAAAATTTTAAGTCACTGGTTACTCACTCAAAAGGTAACTCGTAAAATCCCGCAAGGACGTCCACACAAAATGAATAGATAAATTGGGAAAAATATGGGGTGGGCTATCTTTGGGGATGCGACAGCAAAACTTATAAAATTTAAAAAAAGGCGATAATACAATAGGTTATCTGCTACAAACCACATAAAACGGGAACTGATACCGCGGATTGCAAAGACAGCAAATTTGCATTCTATAATGCGATAAACACGCGGGAATTTGCTAAGGCATCCTGTGTCATGGTCAAAGGGGTAGCGGACGCAGCAGATTCGTTTTACCGTGTTTGCACAATTCTAAGGCGCACGCACCTTTTGAAAGCTAACAGAAACACGCTGGGATTCCATTTCCCATGTATTTTGTCAATAAAGGCAACGTGGGCGTTATTTTGTTTACATGACATTACTATAAAAGCTCGTTACATGGCACGTAAATAGCGTTTCAGTAAGGATTATGGCGAGTATGGCCCAGACCCGGGGGAAGGGCCACCCCCGCCCGCCCCCGCCCCCCCCCCCCCCCCCCGGATTTCATCAGGGGGGGGGGGGGGGGCACGAGCCCCGATGCCACCCCCATAGTTTACGCCTATGACAGATTCTACCTCGCAGGTAAAATAATGAAGATTGAACACATAGCTCATAAAACAGATTTTATAAAACGAACGACAACACAAAAAATAAATGCCGCGCACTAGTCGCCCTTGTCAGAGTCTGACGATGGTTCTTCGCTGTCCACAGAGGTGATCTCTGCTTTCGCTAAAGCGTTTTAAATGCCGCGCTTCTTGCGCATGTACGAACGAGCGACCGTCGCCTTTGGGAAGGTCGTCTTCCAAACAACACTTTCCGAGCTCGTTGCGTCACTGAGATTGCAAGGACACACAGTGCTGCTCCGTTGTTATCTTTTCCCGCCAGCGGGACGGCCTTTCGTTTAAATAAAACCTCCTAGCAGAACTGTAGACGCGAAAGAATGCGCGTGATACGAATACCGAAATGACGAATGTAAACAAACGGTCATGATGGCGTTGGGGCTAGCCACCTTACACCGAGTATTGCGTTTTTCTTTAGTTTCGGTTTTTGGTTTCGATAGTAACGCGCATGTTGTTTTGGGCAGCGATTTTTGCGAAAAAAAAAGTGCGCGTTAGAATTGTACAAACACGGTACTCGGTGCAAAGGTCACGCGGGAACCTGCCGCGAACTCGTATGCTATAGGAACCGATTCCGCCAATCGCGGATGCAGCAGATTGGCATTTCACGGTGCAACAGACATTCGGGACAACTCGTCTGTCACGGGAACCGATATCGCGTGCCCGCGGACAAAAAACGCGGGAACCCACTACGGACGCGCATGCCACGGGAACCAATACCGCGGATCGCAGGCGCAGCAGACCCGCATTTCACGATGCAATAAACACGTGGGATCAACTTGCATGTCACATGAACCAATATCGCATGCGCAGGTCACGGACAAGAACTTGTGAACCCGCTAGAAATCCCTTGTCAGACGTACCGATACCACAGATCGCGCGGTTGATGTGATTTCGGTCGGACATCGGTCGGACATCGCGTGATGTCCAACCTTACTTAGCCAAGAGAACGGGATGGGCGATCTCACGGAGGAGGGCGCCCTTACGGGATTTTACGGTAAGCCCGTTACTGGTTATTGCAATTCAAGAGGAACGAATTACGTAAGCTTGCAAGTAATGCGTAACTTTCTCGTTAGTCCGAGTTTGTCGTTCTTAGGAAGCAGCAGCCGCTTCCAATATTTGTCGTGGTTATAAATGCATCGCTTTTTAAATGCGTTCCTTCCGGGATAACTGTGGCTATACTGACATGAATTGTGCACATCCTTTTAAAGTCTAGCGTTCTATCGCCGTGCACATTACAGGCGCGAGATAGGGTGAGGTCTAGGTTAGATACCTGCGTTGTACAGGTTCCTATCCAGAGGTAACTAAGCACCATTACTCTTTACTTCGTCAAAAAGTGACGGAATCGCCTTACTTGTTCCTTCTCTTAAAATGTAACTATAAGTTGTTACTTCGTTACCGAAAGAAGTAACTAGGTACAAGTAACGCGATACTTTAACGAGTTATCTGCACAAGTCTGCCTAGATCCAGTGGCGTCGGAACATCAGTTTCTTTCGAATAGTTCCGACGCCACCGCCTAGAATTGACGGTCGTCGACGGTGCCGCACTCCAGACGCGCCGTGTGCTCACCTGGGGCTGTCGCACTCCCGGCGGGCGCTCTGGATGCCTCCACCGCAGGTGCGCGAGCACCGGCCGTACCCTTGCCAGGGACCCCAGTCTCCGTCCACCTTGCGCCGGCTGCCCTGGTCCATCACAGCCACGCACTCGCCCTTCTGACACCACTAGGCCACAAAAGGAACAACCCAACTCTTTCTACAGATGCTCTTTGAAAATTGGCGTTCTGGTTCCTGAAGCATTCTTTTTGTCTTTTCACAGGGAGCACGCCAGAGGAATGCCTAACTTGACTCAAGTCTGACAATCATAGGGGTTTAACTTGGGTTAAAGTACTTTTCTTCGACTTTTTTTTCTAGCTTTTCTCGTGGTTCGCCATATAATTGCCAAAGTGGGATACTTCAGACAAAGGTGCCACCTATTAGTTAACCGAACAACCAGCAGTGAAGCCTCTGGCGCTTGTTTGGCAATTTTGGCCCAAAGTTGCCACATGAAAACCGAACTAGAAATGAAGCCTAACTTTGGCACTTAATTGTTTGATGATTTTGGCACAAAGGTGCCAGATGACAGCCATGCTACCAAGCAGTAAAGCCTAGCTTTGACTTTTCTTTGGCAATTTCTTAAAGGGATACACTCCGAAGATTTTTCATGGTCCCCGATTCGCGTAAAAGTTTGATAAACACACCAACGAAAATCGTTGAAATAGTATCCTAAATATTAGGTCAAACCAATATTAGGTTTTTGCAAATGTTATTAAATTTACAATTTTGATCCTCACAGTGGTTTTCAAACTAAAAGTTTCTACTGGAAAACCCGAAAAAGCGATGCCAGTCGAAGGCATCGGTTGTTTACTTTTTGCACTAGATTTCGTTCCCAACTCATTACAAGCAGTTTCATGGTGTCAAATGGATGCTTTGGAAGCTCGCTCCAGTATCCGAGCACTAGCACGAAACAAATGATTGGCATAGTCTATTTTTAGACTGCTTGCTCGACTGGCAAGCCTGCCTGCCACTGATGTCACGGCACTGAAAAGTGCGCGTATATTTGCATGTTTGTTTTTCAACATTTCCGTTGGCCAATTTTACAATATCTGTTAAGACTTTCGCGATACTAATTAGCATGCCTGAGAGGGTAAACGCCGAGGATCAAAAAAATATAGTTCACTCGGGTAACTCAAAAATCGCCGGAGGTGACTTCTTTAAAAACCATAAACCTCCAGAAAAAAAGAAAAAAATAATAAAATCATTTGCTTAGAGAATTCTGTTACCTGGGATATAATAAATCTGCAATTAAAAAAAAAACGGCGCAAAAAGGCCAAGGACATGCAGGGCGGTAGACTACATCAAGCCCCCAAGCCCCCCATGGCTACTCGCCTACCTAGTACTGAGCAGCGCACCTCAAAAGAAAGTAAAAGAAGGGTGCGAAAGGTGAAGGTGCCTCGGGGTTTCCCCACTCACGTGTCGCTTCCCGCAGGTGGTTCCGTCTGCCCACGGCATGTGCTGCGTGCGGCAGCCGCCCTGCAGGTTGCTGTGCACGGTGCACCAGAGCCGCTTGCAGACCGGCATGTAGGGGCAGATCTTGGCGCCCCGGCCGAAGACCAGCTCGCACTGGCGGTCCATGTCGAACAGCTCCCCGGGCTGCGTGGAGGCCCGCGAGCTCGGCGCCACGTCCTCGGGCAACAGCAGGTTCTCGGCGGGAGAGTCGCGCAGGCACTGCCCGTAGCCCGCACTGCGGATGACACCCGACATGGGCGCCCACGCCAAAGTTTAGACGACGTCAACAAAAAAGGAATGCGGCCAAAAAAAATATTGTGTTGCTTGCATGTTTAGACACCCTTGAAGTTGGTACGCCTCAGGGGGCGACCTATCTCTCAGCTGTAGATGAGTAATTTTGGCAGCAACCGCTAACCTGGGGGTCTTTAACGTGCACCGCGCAGTAGTGATCGCACGAACACGTGCCGGTACAAAACTCGTCCAGATTGAAACGAATGGGGATCGAACCCAGGACATTCTGCAGCGCAAGCTTTCACTTCATGCTCCGAGCTGAGACGTGTTAGCCTTGGCCACCGAGGAGTAAAAAACGGGGCTGCGGCACACAGCCCCGTTTTCTTACGTTACGTTACGAACGTTTACGTGCAAGTCACCGGGACAAGTTCAGGGAGATGGCCCACGCAACATTCGGGACGCGAATGTTTTGGTGACTTATACATAAACATATAAGAAAACGTACGAAAACGGGGCTGTGTGAACCGGTCTTTAGTTCATCGCGCGGTGCCAGTGTTTCCTGGCGCTGCCAAGCCATCGACTTTCAGTCCCAGGGTGATCTAGCGAAGGGACTCACTCGAGGAAGGTGGTGATGTAGTGGCGACTGCATTCGGACCACGACCACGGGCGGCTGTTGTAGTCCAGCATGCGTGCCATCACGTGCAAGGGCTGGCTTGCAGCCCGGTACTTGGAGCACTTCTGGTCGTCATCGTGCGGGATGTTCAGCCTACACACAGGCAAGAAAGCAGCTGACCGACTGCCCACTCGTTCTCGACCACGACGCCCAAGTCGCGAGGAGTCCACTAACGCGTCGCGCAGATATCAATTGAATTAAATGTGGGAAAGGTAATTTGAGAATACCGCATAAACCCGCTCTGGAGGGTTGGACCAAAGATGGACATTAAATGGTCTGAAATCACTTTTTGTAGCTCATAAAAAGAAATGTTTCCGGTTTTTTGTTGTATGCTGTCTGTAAACGAAATACGGCCACAACAGAGGCTTTGCACATTTCGCTGCACACAGGGCATCAACAAAATCACACTGCACACAAACAATGACGTAATGTGACGTCATAATGTTGGGCGACGTCGTGGTGTAGTCTTTTAGCGGAGAAATTTTCCCGCTAAATTTGGCGGCTGACAGCGCAGAAGTAAAAAGAAAAAACTTGGTCACCGTGTGTAACAACGAGAACTGACTAACCTTATTTCGTTGTTGCCGATATATTTGTCAAGGAAGCTTCAGCCACTTGAGGACGAAACGCCAGCTACCACACCGAATCTTGTAGAAGGCTCATCATCAAGCACTTCCTATCAGTCTTTACCATTCGTTTGGTCGCTATCACTCGTCACACTGCGTTATATTAATGCTGTTTTAACTTTTCCAAACATTTTACCTCTGTTTATTCTAGACCACCTCCCTCAAGACTTGAACGAAACAGGTTTTAAGCCGAAAAACAGGGACAAAAAAATGAGAAACAACACAGCGTAATTCAACGCTGCATTACCCATGCACGTGACCTCGTGGCGGCTGGTCACAGCCATGTCTCTGCTTGTGCGGACAAGCCCATGCAGTTTCAAGCTTGCCAAAGCCATGTTCATGCGCAGGCTGCAAATGCTTTTAAGCATGGGGCACCAGTCGGGGTGCCATGCTTCCAACTGTCTTATACGCAGGACAGTTTCAAACTACACCAGGAAATAAGGGTCTCGAGCAGCCGAGTCAGCGTGCAAATTCTTTGTAATTGGCGAATGCGGTGAGGAGAATCTAACTCACACGTGGCCCAGTTCGTGAGCGATGGTGAAAGCAGCGCTCAGTCCGTTGTCTTCGACGATGGAGCAGCTGCTATGAGGGTCGCAGATCATGCCAGACTGTGCAAGGCCTGGCAGAAAGAAAGGTACAAGAACGCTATAGCAGTCAATAACGGATAGTTTTTAAACGCACTCCTATCTTCCACATTGAAGAACAACATATCCAGGAGAGAACTGCGACTAAGATATACGCCTCGAGAGAAATGTTGGACGGCTTCATAATCACGGACTGACATCTGGTACAGATAGAGTGGTTAAACATTTCAAAGATACCACTCACTGCATTACTTGTCAAATGTTCAGGATTGCTCTGAACACTCCGAACTACTTTAAAGGTGACGATGTCATATTTGTAAGATGCTAAATGCGGTAGGCTGTCTTTAATGGAAGTTCACGTGCATGCCTGAAACATAAACTGAACAATATTTATATATCTAGTAGTTAACATCCTGTGTTATGCAAATACTCACATATATACATATATCGCATTTATGAATGTAATTTGTGTCGTTCTAATTCTACATGCTTCCCCATGTCCCATATAAGCTTCGATCAGACTTACCTAGGGTGTCACACGTCTTGGGTAGTCTGCATAAGTCTTCTCTTCAAAAAAATGAAAGGGTAAAAGTGTTACAGAGAGAGAAAATTATCAACAACTCGTACATTAAGAAAGAGCAACAAAGGAGGCTGAAAGTAAGAGTACCGATAACAAGACATAATTCGAGAAAAAAAAATACTGCCCTGTGACGCAGCATACGCTAGCGAGATCAGCCTGGTATGTGCTACTGATAAAGAAAAGGGTAATTTATTACAATTACAACTGCTCAAAAATGGCAGTCAGATTATTACCGACAATTACTCAAATAATGTTTCAAAAGTAACTGCTACTCTCCCCAATGCCTTATCTGTTTTGATATGTCAGGAACTACACTGAAGAATATTAGAACTGAACGGTAACTATGCAACGTTTCCCTGCCAATAACCTTCGATACGGGAGCACAAAAAAAGATATAGACAGTCTCAATGAGTGTAACTCCAAGCGCACGACAGTTGTATGGGGCTGAGACCCGACCACCATGGAAATTACCTGGTGAGCAAAATGGCAGTGTCGTGGTGATAGGGATGGCTGTCGTCAAGGTGATTGTGCTTCTGCTGCCAGCGGCAGAAGTTCTTCAGTGTGCTTGAGGCGCTCGGAGATATTATCTCATTGTCCTGCAAACGAAACGACGCAAGAGTCCCAATCTGAGGCATTGCATAAAGACGCAACGACCACAAAGCCTACACATATGTACCTGCCGTTTGTTTGTTGTTTTGGTTTTTCATCGAAGTTGGCAATATACTAGTCGAAATTTATTTTGACATAATCAGAATAGCCATTAAATAAAGCGGAACTTAGTGAGCCCTTATTGCCTCCCAGACAAAAGGTCTCATGAACTTTCGTTTATGATAGAGTCTCACTACATTCCGGTCACTAAACTGTGGGACAAACGAACAGCAGAGAAAGAAATGTGTTCGTCTTTCGTCTGTAGCATCGTCAGGCATCGTCTCCTGCTGCAGATGATACCAATCTTCATCAGCTCGCCCACGGGTCCATCAGTTTACCTTTTTTGATGTCCATACCTCTTCTCGGTAATTCACCCGTCAATATAACTTACGCGATGTTATTATCCCGCTCCTTCGCTACTTGGGGTCTAACTTAAAATCGGAGAATTAGTAGGATTTTTCTCATAGTGATGATTGGGCCTTAAAGGACCCCTTAAAGGCCGACGACCAGACTAGAGATTCTGCAAGACAGAAGATCCTCCTCACCGTCGGGGAGGAGGAAACAGTCAACGGTGGACGGGGTAGAAGGGGGAGAGGAGGAAGTGCGAGGAAAAGTGCGAAGCGCGAACTGGTCGTCGGTCTTTAACAGAAAAAAGATGCTTTTTTTTTAACAGTCTTGTAGGGACACGCATGTCAAAAAATGAATTTGACGTGAAAAAAAAAATGTTTAGAGCAATATTGATGGCGCAAGACACAATTTAGTCGGTAGTCACCTCCTTTTCACCTGTTTTCTCTGTCAGCATTTCGAGCGCGTGGAGGAGAGGTGGATTGGCTTGGCCATCACGTTGAGGTGCAGAGAGTGTATGACCATCTCGTGGAGGTGGAAAGAATGTATGACCATTCCGCGATGTCATGGACTTCGTGCACAAAATTCAAAATAAATCTCGCGCCTTCAAGATTTCTCTAAAAATATTTCGGGTAAAATCAATTTCTTGACAAGCGTGTGCCAACCAAACTGGTAAATAAAAAAATAACAAAAAAAAAAGCATCGTTTTTTTTTTAGGGGTTCTTTAAAACTGAAGCGGTTCTGTATTTGAGGAAAAAGTGTTAAATTGTTTTCCTTTGGCCTCCAGGATCGCGGATATCTAGATTATTTTTCGAATTCGTGAACGGAGGCTGCATAAAATCATTTTCAAAGTACCGCCGAAACCCCTCCTTCCCAGAGCGTGACGTCATGGGCAGAGTTTTCGGAATATCCGCTCCCGCGCATCTTCAGCGCCTGTCAAAGCTAAGCAAGCGCACTCTCGCTATTTTTAAAAGGGGCACAAAACAGACGTCAAGACTGCTACCAGTGCGGGGGAGTATTAGTAGTTTGCACATGACGTCAATTCGCATTTTGTTGTTAGTTTGTTTTCTCAAACAAATTTACTACATTGAAGGATTACATCGTAACCGGTTGAGATATGATGTCAGCGGTGCTCTACGCATTTGAGGGGGCATGTAAACCCTTGGAATTCTCTCGGCACACGCCAGACAGCTCACAACAACAAAATGGTGGACGAAATTACGTCAGTGGCAACCTTACAATTGCACGCGCTGTTCACACGAGCGACACGCGCTTGGCGGCCCAAGGATCCTGGTACGAAGTCACGACTGGTCGTAGGCTTTTCGAGTTTTCTCGCATTTAGTTACATCTTCGGGAAAAAACGAACGTGATATCCAGATTCACGGGATAAAAAGTAACTCTAGAATTCACCTGTAACTGCTATCTCTCAAGAATCTCTTCAGCTTCCCTTTAACCTACTGCATGGACTTTGTTTTTCAAACACCAGCTCGCCTGCACTTTAACCGTTTTTTCACTTTCCATAAGTCAGAGCCACCTATAGGGGAAGTAAGAAATACCCAAGACGCCCCCCCCCCCCTTTCCCCCTTTTATTTTTCTCTCGTTAATTTATCTCTTTAATTCGATTTCCCTTTTTTGAGCAGAGTGGGAAGTCAATACCACCTAGAAGACAGGGCCCGCGTGTGACGTCATTGTTAGTGTGATCTCCGACCCGCCCCTAGCGGCAAACGTTGAGAACCTTGATAACAGATGCCGCAAAGCGGCAGACGGGTCCGTCTTGGCGTCACCGCGTGCTACCGTAGCACTCGTGAGACGCTACAAGACGCGTTGGCGGCAACGCAGACGCGAACTAGGCGGCGCTGCATGGATTCACTATTGATGACGTTTCAGGGGGAAGGTTCGCGGGCCTTTTGTCTTCCAGCTAGGATATCGGACAAGCGTGGCTACTCTTTCGCTATATTTTTTTTCTACATGGATGCAATTTCTTCTGTGAACAAGGGTTGTTGAAAGAGGGACATACCTCCTCCTCCTCCATGAAGATGAGTTTGACGACGGCAATGTCCAGCAGGTTGCCGATGCTGGGGTCCTTGTAAATGTGTGCTACCTGGCACAAGAGACAAGGGTCCACCGTCAAATCCCGTTGCTGTTCATGCGGGAGACACAAACTGCTAAAGCCGCTGTTAGCCAATCAGTTAGCCAGTGAGAATGCGGAAGAACCAACCACGAAGGGCGAACAAAATAAGCCACGCTTTGCATTTGATCCTAGAAGCACACTTAGTTCTTAGATGTCAGATACGCTTGAACATTTCCCCAACCTTCGAGCAACGGCCCTTGCGATGTTGAGAAGACCGCGTCGTCCTCCCCTTGTAGATATCATCTGATAATCACCATCACTAATCGTGGCACCGCCGGCCTTCATGGTACGGGCTCTCACCTTTCCGCGGTGCCACGGCTCTCCTGAGCCAATAAAGATTGTTGTTCTTGTTATTATTATTATTACTATTATGTCCTTAGGATTTCCTAACGTTCTGGGAGGTCCCATGAACGTCCACAGGTCATCTCCAGAACGTTAAGAGATCCTAAAGACATCCTAAGGACGTCAGAGAACTAGGTGTGCTACTGGGGAAGTTGCAGCCTTCGTTGCTAAAAGAGCGAAGGTGAGAGGGGAGGTTTAAATATACTACGGCGTGATTAACAGTGTTCTGTCACGCCTTTATTGGTTCCCATAAATCAGTTCTCCGAGCACAAAGTTGTGACGTTACACAAAAGTGCCGACGAAGAGTCGAGGCTTTCCCACGCTTTCCCCATCACGAGGCGATTGAATGGTGGGAACTATCGGAAACGATACAACTATAGTTAAATTAGGCGTCATACTTTAAGTGTCACTGTGTCATGGCTAACGGCACCGGCAACTAAATATGGGGAGACCAATAAACGCTTTCTGAAAGTGTCTCCCCTTCTTTCCAACAAACCTTGTCGGCGAAACCCCAAATCGAAACAAAGACGAAAAGGTCTGTTAGAAACGAACAAAAAGAAAAGAAAGAGAGGAGCGCACACTTGCCGCGAGGCTCTCAGAAAAGTACAAAAAAAAAAAAAAAAAAAAAAAAAAAAAGAGTTTTCCTTTCGCAAACGTCGAGGGCGGAGGGTTCGAAGGACCCGTCAAGCCCGTGGCCGCGACGGCAGCCAAGGATGAGTTATTCGGAGTCCCACGGGTCACTGGGGGTCCCACTCGCCAGCGCCGACAGAGTGGAGCAACCGAATGCCGAAGGAACGGCCACCGCCGATTCGGAGCGACGTCTATTTTCAGGTGACTGCCACCGCGGAGTTGCGGAAGACCCAGCGCGCCGCCACCCGCTACGCAGTCCGGGGCCATTCCTCCGGGGGCACGCACCCATCGATACCATCAAGCGCTTTATTATTTTTTTATTTTTTTGAGCGTGGGATGCAATATTTTATTGGTTATAACTATAGGACTTAGATACGATAATCCCCAAAAATTAACTCCCAAAACAGAAAAAAAGGAAAAAAAAATAAATAAATCGGAGCAATTCTTTTTTTTTTTTTTTTTTTTTTTAGCTGCAGGGAAGGAAATCTTTATAGCTACAGCTTTATTATTTCGTTCCGACTTGGAACATCAGCAGCTGAACTGTTTGTGACGCGGCTCCTTTCTTCGAAACCATGTTAGTTTCCGTGGAAATTGGGGAATTTTATACTTGTTCTTCAACGTGGACCCCAATAAACACCGAATTTTTGCCTAACACCAAAAAAATACACCCTGAAAACACGGGACATTATAGTTATAAATGCATTTTGAAAAACAGCGCGAATACCACACGGACAAGAAGGAGGAACACGTGTGGTATTCGCGCTGTTTTTCAAAATGAATTCATACCAACTCGCCCAACTTTCCATTCTAGTAAGTTATAAATGCGTACCCGTCCGCCCGTGCGTGCGAAGCCGCCGAAAGACGAAGTCTTTAGTCTTTACGGAGCCGGGCTCCAGCTCCGCTAAAGACTTCGTAAAGATGTAAAACATGCAGATGAATTAACCATTCAACTGCATATTTTCAATGATTACAAATAAGACTCTTCTAGTCTAGCCTATAGTATTCTATCCTAAATGCATATATAAACAATCGCCTTTTAAATACTGGATTCCATGCAGTATTTACGATGAAACTGTTGCGGCCCCAGTAAGAAACTGCTTAATCGGTACTTTGGACCATATATGCTACTTCGTCGCCTCGGGGAGCTGAACTACAAGGTCACGCCCGACAGAACAAGAACATCATCACGCCGCCCACCACGACCTGAAGTCGTCCACGCCGTGCGCCTCAAGCCGTATTACGCACGATAAGGCTGTTAACTGTGATCCCGTGCAACGCTTGATAGGACCGTGTCTTGCCAGCCTCCTTATTTCCCTATTATTTTGTTCGCCTTGCTCTGTATTCTCCTTTCACGTGGCATCGAGACGATGCTCTTTTTAAAAAGGGGAGTAATGAAACGCGCGCGTGGGCGAGCGAGCGCGTGCGAGGCCGAGTAGTTACCGCGTTTAACTTTCGTGAGGATGCCCAGGGTTCGAATCCTGGGAGTTACCAGTCTTTTGTTTACTCTTTTAGTTTAATGTACTGGAAAATTCGAAAACTTTGTTGCTAGTTCCAGTTCCGAATGTTCTACGCGCCGAACCTTCGACCCCGATTCTTCCAGAAGCCCACGCGTGTACAAAAGGGGCTTCCGCGTGGCGAGTCGGAGTCAGTCTCGCCCCATGTTCGATCCTGCTGCTACGCCGCCGTTGACGCCCGCGACGCTCTATTGTCATCTTCTCTTTCCTTTTCGTTTTGGACACAAGTTCACCCCATTAAGCGATTCGTTTGTTTCCGTTTTCGTCGCCTCATCAATTGTCATTCTTGACAATATAACTGGAGGTAAAAGTCGCTGCCAGTTTTGCTTTTTATCTTATCCAGTCAGGTGCTCCAAGACAACTGCACGAACATCCACGCAACTTATCTCCAACAATCGTCACGCGACTTCTGGAAGAAAAAATAAGAAGGGAAGGGGGAATGCCTACGGTCCGATTCCGTAAACAATACCGGAAATATCAGCGCCTCCCATCGTCTCCTCGACGAACTACGGCATTCCTATGTACGGCGCGTGGAGGTGTACCCACGAATAGAACGAGCGGTATAAATTTGTTCAGCATTTTGTAATTCTGAAAACGCAAAGAAAGCAGGGCGATCACAAAACAGGGTACGCGTCGGCTTTGCAATATGTTCGCTCTATTTTCTTTGTGTTCTGAACTCAAAGTACTAAAAGAGAAGGAACTGAACCACTTCCGGGTTGTACAGAGCGTACGAGCCGGCCTGCGAGCGTACATCGGATCGGCCCCACAATGCCCCGCGCCGCGCGGTGCAATGTGGGATTGACGAGAGGCCCTCTTGGATTTTCCGGAAAAGACTCATCTCCAATGAGCCAAAACTTCGGAAAGCCCCCACGAACCACTTGGCGAGCCTCCAACGCTCTGGCGTTTAAAGACCGAGATCGTAGCTCTCAAGAGCAAGAAATTCTAGAGCCTGCCAAGAAAATTGAGACACTGCGACGCACGTGTGAGGTGATACATCAGGGCGTTTGTCAGGTGAGGCAGTCCTGTCGACATCTTTCATTTAGGCTTCGATGTTACCCCCCCCCCCCCTTTTTTTTTTTCAGTCCAAATTGCTGGCGGTGCGAGGTGTGCCCAAACAAAGCCTGAACAGGATCCAACTTATAAACGCAAAACAAACGCAAAAAAAAAATAAGAGAAAAGAATCGCATGCACTCGTAACATGTGACTGCCAGGAGTACGTATGACCCCTTGCTTATTTGTTTCTTCAGTCGCGCGACTTCTAGTGACGACACCGAACGCCAATACATATTGCGTTATGCAATCGTGAGCATCGAAGAAAAAAAAAAATGTGAACGATTACAACGGTTTCTATTGTGCAGTGACTAAAACATAACTGTTAAAAAAAAAACTCACGGCAGTCGTTGATGACGTATTTGGCGCGTGCTTCCCTCGCTCGCGAACTGGGAAGTTCTCATAGCTATACCGCTATACCCGTTCTCACCTCAAGAACCGTAGTAAAAAAAAGTTCGGCTTCTTGAGGAGCATTACTGATTTCACCCTTTATGTAGAGAATTAAGATACATCTAGGGGAATTGTAGATTAGATATATGTTATCTTACTAAGACGTACACGTTTTAAACACCAAAAGCATCGCTTTTTCCTCTGACAACCAAATCTCGTAAGAACTACTTCGTGCCGCGTATGAGCAATGCGCAAAACGTGCTTTTTTCTTGAGGTGAAAACGGGTATAGACTGCTACCCCCTCTCTAGAATGCACCCAAGTATTGTGCGACCTCGGTGCCGTGTGCCGCGAAGAAATGAAGTTTGACTCCAGGCCGGCCTTGGATTATTCGGACTCCACTCCCGAATTTTCTTGGGGACATCACCATTTTGGGGCCTAGTGACGAAGCGCTGCTTTCCGTGCTTTAGATAGGCTGCCAGGAAACTCAGGCCATATACTTCAGTCGCGTTCTGTTTTAAGCATTTCTGGAGGACGGAAAACCACTTCCTGCTGTTTCCGATAAAACCTCGGCCAGCTGGCAACAAAAAGTGAAAGCCGTTTACAACTCCCTGTAACGCCGAATTAGAGCGCAGCTCTTGAGGAGGAGGAGGGAAGGGTACTGAGGGGAGGCTATGCCCCTCGTTCCCTCGTCTTCACCCGCTCCCCTCCCATTTAGCGGGTAATTTTCGTCACACTTCCCGCTAAATTTAGCGGGAAATTTAGCACGTGCATTGCCAACCTTCTAGGCACTATGCTAATTAAAATGGGACCGCGTGGGTAGCACGTGCATCACCCGTAGTGAGGAAAATCAGAAGCGCCCCAGCTTCTCATCGCGAATAGAGGGAGTATTCACTGGCGGCCATAGCTGTGTGCGGGGCTGCTAAGCGCGTGCTGACGGCCAGCTTCGACAGTTCTTTTGCCACGTGCTTTCCGTACCATCAAGAGTGCCGGTCTTAGCAGCCTATTGATGTGAGCTCGTTCTGAGCATGCGCTCTAAACAGGACCCACAAATATGGCGTCCAGTGAATACTCCCTATAGGGGATATTCACTGGCGGCCATAGCGGAGTCCGCGGCTGCTGAGCGGCAGCTGATTGCGAGCTTCTACGGTGCTTTTGGGACGTGCACTCTACGTTATCGAGACTGCAGCTCGCAGCAGCCTATTGGGCAGGAGATCGAACTATAAGGGGCGCTATCGAGCTTGTTGTACCCACAGCCCGGTGTTTACTAACACAACATAAAAAATAAATTGAACCTCGACATGCCCGGTCTGAGCACGAGCGCTTCGCTTTTACCAGCGCTTTGGACGCACGAGGAGCGGCCTTCGAATTGTCACCTTCGGTACAGCTAATCAAAAACAAACAAGAAAATTCGGTTTGTTGTCCCCACAGCGGAAGTGTGCCGCTAGAGGCGTGACTGTTCAATCTCCTCCCCAATAGGTGTGAGCTCGTTCTGGGCATGCGCAGTGAGTAGCGCACCGAACAACGGCGTCCGGTGAAGCTGTCTTCCGGCCGTGCTTACCGCGGCCATGAGCGTGAGGATGTAGTGCTTGAGGTTCTTGCCGTGGTAGCGCGCCATCTTGCTGTCGGCGGCCACCAGCACCTCGACGTGCTGCTCCAGGGAGTAGCTGCGCTTCCGCCGGTGCCGGGACCTCGGCGGGCGTCGCAGGCCCTGCCACGGGATCTCGTTGGACTCTGCGTGGACGGAAGGGAAGAAGGCGGCTTCAGCATCTATATTCACTGCTACCGACGAACAAAGATATATCGTTCAATTACCGCTAACAAAAGGCTTCTAGTTCCCTTCTTTCCAGGTAACTTCATTCCAAGTCACTTCCTTTCAAGCCACTTCATCTAATATCACTTCAAATCGCTTCGTTCCAAGTCACTTTATGTGAAATCATTTTAAGTAATTTAATTATTCACTTCCTTCGAAATCACCTTGTCTGAAATCACTTCATTTGAAGTCATTTCATTCCAAGACACTTTATTCCAAGTCCCTTCCTTTAAAATCACTTTATTTCAAGTCACTAGGTTCAAGGTCACTTCATTCAAAATCACTTTATTCCAAGTCATTTCGCTCTAAGTAGGTACCTGATACCAAGTCAATTCATTCCAAATCACTTCACTACAAGTCATTTCACTCGCCACTTCATCCGAGGGCATTTCATCGCAGATACTGCATACCAAAGACATTCCATGCCGCCACGTTTCACGTTAAACCCTTCCAGATACATCTACACCTTGTAGCCCTTCCAGGGCAAACTCGCCATCTCAGGTTGCCTCGTGATAACATATGTTGGAATGAAACGCCCCGGGTATGAAATACCCGGGATGAACTGTGATGGGATGAAGCATTTTGATATGAAGCGAAGGAATCTCTTTACAAAGATGGATTAACTCTAGCTACTTCGATATGGTTCCTTCAATTTGCGTAGGCGATTTTTGTTATTGCCCCCACAAAAAAAGAGCAGCCTTGCCCAGAAGAACGACAAAAACTGCGCGAGCGGAAAAAAAAATATATATATTATATATATATATATATATATATATATATATATATATATATCGGCAGTTAGTAGGAAGCGTGTAACGACAACGTTCAACAAGGCAGCACCACATTTTTTTTTTTTTTTTTACTTTACGAAGTGCAGTGGTGTAATGATACGCGTGCCTGACAGCGTACCAAATGTATTCACACGCACACAAAGAAAAACAGGGGCAATCACTTCTTTTTTTTTTTTTGGGGGGGGGGGGGGGGGGGGGCGCAGCGATAGCAATAGTTACTGGAAGGATGAGAACGGCAAGGCGTCTCTCTCTGATGCCCGCTCCACGAGAGTGCGCGCCGCCGAGGTATATGCAGTGCACTTCGGCTGCACGCGCAATACACCGATAGCCGAAGTGTCTGCTCGAGCAAGGGGCTCGCGCCCGTATGGGGAAGTGTCGACACACCGCTGTGCGCTGTCGTGCCAAGTGCACATATAAATTGGAAGGCGGCAGTCTCGAGCAGCGTCGTAAAGGAGGGCAGCGACCGTGTCGTTGGCGGCCGGCAAGACGAACGAAACGGGACACGCTGCTATCTTGGAGCGACAGTGTATGCGAAACCACAGTGTCTGCAAGGGGAGAAAAACATGTTTGCTTCCTACCGTTCCGTGAGAAAACCCGAGTGCAACCAGAGTGCCCATAAACGTTTTGTAACGCCGAGAGATGTAATAAAATTAACGCCGCCCCCGCCAGTTCACGCTTTCCAAACTACACTCAGGTCCCTACTGCGTATTTTCCCGTAGAGCACACGTTAAGCAAATCATCGTCACGTTGTTAGGGAGCTCGGCAAGTAAGCAGCCCCCTAGACATAAAGCTGCGGTACGCACTACCGCCAACCCTGCTGACGAGTCAAAAATTGCAGGGCGACTCTGCTGATCGCCCGGGCTCCAACACGGGCTTGCTGCCTTTCACCGTGCTCAGTTTGCTGCGAATGGACGCTCGAAGCTTGCGATCAAAGCGTTAACAAAGAACTCGCGCTATGGGGCGGGGACTATTGAAACTCCTTTCTGCCCTCCTGTCAATAACCGCGCAGCCACAAACTAAAGAAAAAAATTCCTTCTTTTCTCGTACCATCAATGAATGGATCAATTTGCCTTTAAGCATCATCGGTCAGTGAACCCAATAAAAAGACTAAGATCAATAAAAACAATATATATGTTAGTATTTGCTTTAAAGCTTGCGTCGTGTATTGTTTGCTGCGTGCTTCCTTCACACGTGGAAACTTGCACCAGCACGCGATAAGCGACACGAGCGGGGACCAAGCTTCGTTTGCATGCAAAGACGACGACAGGTGCTGAATCCACCCGAGACCCACGAGACAATGCGGCCACGCCCATAGTCACGCGTCAATCCACGATGGCTTGGAACGAAGGCTACGCCTTGAAGCACCGCTATCCGTCGCCAGAGTACAGCACCACAGACGCGTGAGTTGCAGGCCCGTTTACAACATACTGGGCTATCGAACGTCACGCAGGTCTAATACCAATACAGACGTACTGAGGCGCTGGAGATTGCTCACTCGATTGTCGATTTGTAAAGAGCTTTCAGGCGTTCGCCTCTAATCAGCATAAATGCAATGCGTCGAAGGGCCACTGTCGCCTTCGGAGCCAACAGTGTCGCAAAGTACGACGCACATCGATGTTCTCCAACGCTCCGCCGCAGGCAGGGCATGATCCTTTACTCCTTCTCCATGTGCTTCATGGTCTTCCTGGTTACCGGCTTGGTGGCCTTCTCGATCAAGGTCAAGAACGCGGGCCTGGAACCGGGCTGCGGGCTTCGCCGCGGGCCAATCTCCAGCACGTCCACGGAAGACGCCACGCTGACTTGGAGATGGGAAAAGCCGACGTGAGAACTTCCGGTTACCTTTCGTGACGTCACGGCTTTGCTTGCAGCTCGAAATATTACGTGCCATCGGTTGCCCGCTGCGAACGTATCGGTTTTGGGAGTTATCCAACAGCGTCGCCACGCTAGGAACCTCTGCGAGTTCACTTCCTTGCAGAACAAGAAAACAGCCGAACATGGCAAACGAGCGACGATATTTCAGTTGTTCGCCGGGAATGGCTGTTTCCCAGCGAATGACAACGTTCAGAATAATACTGGACCTGAAAAATGCGACGTTCACAGGGACAAGGAGCAGGGGAAACGTCATGCTCATAGTCCATAAACACAATGTTTTCTTGCGGTTCTTTTTGCTTTTTAATTTAGCCGTACTCAGAGCATATCATTCGATGCGATCCTTCTATTGTTCGCAATGATTGGCTGTTCCGTGTTTTGAGGGAAAGTGATTTTTGAGTCTCTTTTTAGAGAGTATATGACCTGTGCACCCACCCCGGCAAAGAGTGAAGGCACCGTCCTTATCCATAATCATCGAGCAGTTAGTGGTGGTGGATTGTATGCTAACATGGCGTTTGTGTCCAGTCAGTTTGCACAGTTATGGTACCATCTTCTAAGTGATGGCTGGGTGCACAGATATCGAGCTAACTAGACAGTGTCGCAATCAAACATGATTAAACTTACGCACAAAAAGACAAAAATACTTTAAAAAACTGTCTTTTCGTGCGCAACTTTAAACAAGTTTGATCAGTACCAGCTCGCCCAACTGACCATAAACACCGGGTATGTCGCAGGGAAAAGGTGCGGCAAACTCGGAAGCCACCACTGCCCTCTCCCAAGAGTACCAGGAGGCTCAAGACCACTCTGGCCACAAGTGAGCAAAAAGAGAATGACTGAAAGTAGCCGAAATAGCCAATGTCCTTTCATATGCTACTTGATAACTGTAGCCTGAGGTCATAGGTCTGTGCTGTGTTTAACTAATCATATACAGAAAAGTGAAGCTCTTTCTAATCAGCAAGGGAAACCTTCAGAGAAAGTTTAAGGAGAGCTCCTATCAAAAGTAGACAGGAGATGGATGCAGCCAACGACACAGTAAAGGACATGGACGAGGATTTCAGTTCTTGCATGCGTCGCTCTCTGTGACCGTATGTCGGTTTCTCCACGGTCTAACGTCTAAAACACACGTCAAAGTCAGTTCGTCTGTACTTTCCCCGTTTGACGCGCACAAAACGTGTCTTAGTTGTTCGTGTAACTGCGCAGAGGCAACGCTGCTGACAACGTCCAGCTCGGGAACCCAGCCGTGGACATCTACGCAGAGTAAAATCTACGTGAGCACTTCGGCCAACCTCACGGTCACAGCACCTCCGGCGCCGGAAGCTACGAACACGACCACGTATGATGCGAGGAACGAGACGGCGATCAGTTCCTCGTCGGCGAATGTGTCCACGACATACGACACGACTTTGTCAATGACCACTGGTTTGCACAGTGTGGTCCCCGTCACGGCAGAAACATTGCCGTTGCCCTCGAAAGCGACAGACGTCAAAGCGACGACGACAACGCCGATGGCATCTGTTTCGGCGACTGTCAAAGAATCGAACGCGACAAAGGCTGCGACGACAGCCGTCACGCCAGCAAAAGTCAGTGCCACGCAGACAAATTCGACAGAGGTCACGCCGACAGATGAGAATATAACGGACGCCAATTCGAACAGACTGCCTCCTCAAGAATCCGTCTCGGCGAATGACAAGGAATTTCGCTCGACGGACGCTGCGACGGCGCCCATCACACCTGCAGGGGTCAGCGCGACGCAGGCGATTTCGACAGAGGTGATGCCGACGGACGCTAGTTCGACGAATGTCGTCGTCAGTTCGACTACGGTCGCTTCGACAGAGCTGGAAACAACAGAAAGAACCCCAGCAGTTGTCAAGTCGACACAATCCAATCCAACGGAGATGTCTTCGACATAGCCCAATCCGCCCCAAAACAATTTTTCCGTCTTTGCGGAGAAATGGGCCGGGTTTTTAACACGGGTTTTAGCCCGTGTCTTATTCTCTCACGTGATAACAATATTAACCAGTCTTTCAATTGTCCTATATTTCTGCTGCATATTGCACCTTCTTCCGAAGCAATCGTCGTAGAAAGCAAACGGTTTATACGCCACTGTTCCCGCTTCTAGACGAGGCCAAGTGCAGGAAGAAACTCCATAACTCTTCGGGCAAACTGAACCGACGTCACACAGTCTCTACGACAAGAAATTGGCGATTATGAGCCGCATTCGTTCCGATGTACTGTGATGTATACTGTGGTCACAGGTATCCTGCTTCTAAGCACGGCTTTTAAGCATTAGGTTTTTTTTTTTGTTTTTTTTCGTGGGAGCTTGCTGGATGTTAGATCATAGCCTATGAATCAGACTATACCCAGCGTCAACTATTTTGTGTTACATGGTCGAGGCTAGCGTAGCTTCTACTGTGCAGCATGCATGCAGTCCCCCACTTCTGCGAGAGAGCGCGGCTTCGTCTTTTGCGCCTCATTTGCATGCACTCGCGCAGCCTTTAAAATATTTGGAGCACTGTGAAAGCTAAGCTAGCTCTGACAACGTAGCACAAAATAGCTGACGCCGAGTATAGTGCCTCATTTTTGCGGCGAAGTGCATTCGGTGCAACGCGTTTCATTGAGACGGAAAATAAATACTAAAATATATCACAAATTGAGTTTTGACTACATAGTTCCGAAAATGCACATAAAAAAGGTAACAGAGATGAGATGAGCGAAAACTCGTAATAATTATAAAGTGTAGTAGTAGCTTGCCTCGTGCGATGGACAATAGGGAGTATTCACTGGCGGCCATAGCTATGTGCGCAAATGCTGAGCACGTGCTGACGGCGAGCTTCCCCGGTTCTTTTGCAACGTGCATGCGCTCTAAACAGCACCCACAAACATGGCGTCCAGTGAATACTCCCTATAGATGCTGTACCGCAGCTGAGCATGAGCGCCGCTAAAAATGACCATACATTTTTGTTTCCTCCAATTTCATTTACTTCACCTCTTCATGACCACAGCGGGGCAATTTATGGCCATTTTAGATTCTACTGTGTCCAGCATTGGACTTTGTGGAAGCTCGTCAACGAGCGCTTCACTGGCTCGGCCTCTGGGCAAAGTGAACTAAAGAAGTAGCGAGCTTAGCGAGCGCTCACGGTTACCACACTTCGTGTCGACGGCAAAAGGGTGCGCCGCTAAAGCATGGGCTGTAGTAGTGCACGCTTCGCGTCGCATTTGCTGCGCGACTGGCGTTGTCGTCGTCGTAGTAGTCGATTCGGTATTGCACTTATTCGACATAAGCAACAGAAAACACGGGATCGCGGAAGGCCCTCGGAACGCTCGGATCCTCCAACCCCTGCTTCCGCAGCGCCGCCGCGTACATCCGGGACCTTTCCACGCTCGCCGCTTCACAGCAATGCATGGCGCGCGCGTTGGTGCCGGATCTGAGATCTCACTACCCGTTTTCCAGTTCACTGTAATCTGGATAAGGCAAGAGAAGGTCAGCAATGGCGGCTGTACTCTGGCAGGTGTGCAACGCGTCTACCTTCTGCATTTTACAAACGTGCTCCCGGGTCACGGATCATTGAAGACGCCTAGGACAAAGCAAATGGTTGTGTGTATGTTTATATACAGCCTAGAACTTAGTTTGCCTCAACGGGCGACTCTTCTCCCAGCTGTAGAGCAATTTAGCCAGTGCAGTACGACTGCTAGCCTGGGGTCTTTAACGTGCACCACGCAGTACTGGTACACAACCGCACGCCGCTACGAAGCTCATCCAGATCGAAACGGGCAGGGGTGGGGATTGAGCCCAGGATCCCTGGGTTCTGCAGGGCGAGCTTTCGCTCGACGTGCTCCGAGTTGGTGTGCACTAGCCCATTCGGCCACTGATTCCCCTAAAAAGCCTAACACAAAGCAAAGTGTTGCGTGTATGTTTCTACAGTCGGAAGTTAGTCTGTACACACAAGTTAGGCTCAGTATACACTTCATCTTCTTCCTGTGTTTTCCTGCACACAAGCTCTGGCACGTCGAACGCCCGCGTTTGTCCGTCGATCTTTCTTTTTCCCAGTCTCGGGGTGTTTTTACTATGTTCAACTACCACCAGCTCGTTTGCGCGTTCCTTGGTGTGTGGAAATATTGATTTTATTATAAATTAAAAGAAAGAAAGAAATATAAAGAAATAGAATTAATAAATACGAACTCGACTGGAAACTACCCGCGATTGTAAGTAAAAGCCTCAACAATATCCTCATCGCCATCAAACAGCTCAAAGGTGAGCAGGGCAGGCTCGCGCAGGGCTTGCCCTACCCGAGCCTGTTCTGTGCGAGCAGATTAATTTCGATTTGCGGTTTCGACGAGCGACACCGCGAGCGAAGCTAGAGCACCGGTTCCACCGACTCAGCGGCACAGCAAACGGCGGCGAGAGCTTCACCTATACGCGGCCCCTTCGGAGCCCCTCGGACAAGCCGAAGACAAGGCCATGCTACGGCAGTCGATGGCACCCAGCATGCAAAGCTATCAGTCACGTCAGGAGACTGGCGGCAAGAACGTGTGAGTCTGATCACTACCTCACGCGGTCCCGGGGGCGCACCATACATAAGCTTCCGAGCAAGTGTCGAGCACAGAATGCCCATCTTACGACCAGCTAGTTGACTACATTAAGTCGCGGCCGAACCTGCCCAATGCACTTAACTCTTTTCCCACCTTTCCTTTCCGTAACCGATGCCTGGTTGCGGGCACGCACCCCCCCGTTTCTTTTTTTCTTCTGATAAAATTTAGAAAAATCGGGAGTTCTATACCCTTGTTTCACGGGAAATTCAACCGCCTTCAGATTGAACTCCCTTTAAAAAATCGAAAAACCAACGCAGGCCAGTGAACACGGGCAGAGCCGAGACCGTAACCAGATACACCGATGTATTAAAGTTCATGCTGAATACTTTTAAATTGCCCCTAAAACATTGGCATTGGTAGACCCCCGCATGCTGCGAATTGCGGGCTTATTTTTTTTGTTCTTTTTTTTTTTATAGAGGGCACGTGCTCAAACCATGCTTCCAAGTGACAGCACGAGCTCCCACTAAAAACGCAAAGCTCTAGTGTACGGTCTACTAAAAGTCTATAATCTTCAATAACTAGAAGGTGGGCGCTGGCCAGGTCTCGGAGCAAAAATTAAAAAAAGCGCACAAGGGTAGGGTGGGCTTCCCGGCTTGGCTCCTGTGCGCGCGTCAGGCTTCGTTGCATTGCACCGGTGTGCGCGGAGAAGCGGCTGACGCTCAGGACCAACCCGGTTAGCTATGCTCTATTGGTCCATTTGAAAGTCCGGTGTCCGCTGTCGGTTGAACATCATCGGTGACGATGGACAAAACAAAATAAACAAATTAGAGGACCTCAGATGGGGAGCGCCGAAGACCACCAAGATTCATGTAGACCACCCGGACATCTTTGAAGAACGACCCAGATACCGGGTATGCGGCACCCACTCCGCAGAATGACCGACCCTGAAGGGCGCGAACGTAAGAGTTCGATGGGGAACTTATGCGGTCATCGCTACTATCCGAGTTATACGAGTGTTCTCTCGCTGGCACTCTGAGACATCGGTTCTTGGGAACAGATTGCTTAGCACAGAGGTACTCGTCAAGCTGGGTTCTCAGTGTCCGTTTCCTCCATCATCTGAGTCCGGCTGTTGACGCAGACCTCGTGCTGTGCCTGGTATACGTTGTGCGCATGCCTATCACGACATTTCTCGAGCGCAGAGAGGGCATGGCGCTGCTCGCGTTCGCCACGTCCTTCGTGATCTTCCTGGTGTTGGGCCTGGTGCTCGTGAACCTACATTTAAAGCAAGACGTGGCGCAGCCGCCCGCCTCCAACGCCGACGGGGAAGCGAACGAGACCAGCGTCGCGAGCGAGGCGAACCTGACCGACAGCGTGACCGAGGACGTCACCGAGCCCGCCTGGATGTGGATCGAGAAGCGGTAAGTCGCACTGCATCTCGGACGCTTCACTGCGACGCGCGCGACCATCAAGCGTCGCTTTGGTTGGTCTTCCACAGATTGGCCAAAACACGCACTACGTGATGACATGAGTACGACGAATTCTACTTTCAATGTATGAAATCTACTTCGAACGTGATGGTTTAAGGACGCGATGACTACAATTTCCTACTGTCCTGCTTCCGCACACCATCCAAATTGTCGCTGAAAATCGATAATCCTGGTCGGCTGCAGGCGCGTATCGGCTGCAGTCGGGCTTAGCGAAGCGGGGTATAGAGCCTGGGAACGTTCGGCAAAAATGGCTTACAGACAAGCTAAACCGTGCACCTTCTTACAACTGTTTAGTGCTCTATTTATATGGCTTGTCTACGGTGACCACAAAAAAAAAAATAATAATTTGCCAGCATTTTGTAACTGGACACCATATAATAAATAATACGAGTTACCATTTAATGTTTTTACTACCAAGCGAAGAATTGCACAACGAGTTTCTCCGTTGCACATTGTTCACGCCAGAGCTTCTCTAAACGACAAAAAGACGTGTTTGAGAACAAGAGGTTTTGCTGAAGATTGCTGGTACGGATGTCGCGAATTTGACCAAGTTCGAGTTCGTCCAAGTTCGACTTTTTCAAACTTACAAGTGGAAGTTCGTCAAGAGTTTTATATGTTCGACAGAAGTTCGGAGGCTAGTACGTTTGCTTTTATGTCATTGCTCCCTAAAACTTAAAACGGGCCATTTCATAACTTTTTTTTTTCTTTTTGATTTACATTTGTGTAGAAGTCGGGCAGCGCTGTATAAGAAGTCCAAGTTCATCAAATTTTGAATCGAAGTTCGGCTGGTTCGGCCGAACCAGCCGAACTTCGTTTCGAACCTGAAGTTGGACGAAACTTCGCGACATCCCTAATAGCTAACGGACAGTCGGATGTCCGCGCGACTGAGTAACGCGGTGCATTTACGCAGGAAAATGGTGCTACCTGTTCAGCTTTACCGGAAAGTCCCGATAGTGTCCAGGGAGTACACCGCCCGGAGCTCCACGCCTCCACCGTCACCGAGGACAGGTGAGTTAGTCCGCGTCCTACACCACGTGGTACTCGCGATGATACATTCAAAATACCGAAGACATAATACGTATGTTGCGCTTTTAACGCAACATGCGTATTATATCAGACGCTTTCTATGAGAAAACCGCCGTGAAGAACCGTCCCGAAGAATTGACACCACGGGGTGTCAATTCTTCGGGACGGTTCTTCACGGCTATCACGCTGTCACGTGACACCCTGTGATGTCACGTGACAGCGTGATACCACTTGACATCGTGACGTCACGTGGCGCACCGCGACGCAGTGAGATATCGAAGTAATGTGCCCTCGTGATGGACACACTGGACACACAGCACGTGTCCAGTTAATTCAAAACAAGCGTGGTCTTCGGTCTTCATCAGCGTGATCGAGCAGTGCAGTATATTTTTTAATGGACGTTGAAGAGAATTTGTCTTCCCCCGTATAAAATGTGTTCTTTTTTCTTCTTTTTTTTTTAATGGCGAAGAAGCTTGTAAGCGATAAATTTTGAAGTGCGGTTATGACACACACATTGCAAAACTACGAATTCGCAAACCAGCGCGGTTGTTAGGACTGCGCCAAAATCATTCTTGCCACGTATCTGCCGTGCCGTAACCTCGGTTTTCATGAACTAACATTATCGGGGTATAATGGCATCTGTACTGTACTCGTTGCCTGTTTAGTTGCCGACGCTGTAAAGGCACTTTTGAAGCTACGTCAGCGCCTACAGCAACGCGAATCGGTCAATTTGAACAATTTCAACTTCCAGTCCACAGTGTGTGAGCTTGTGAATTTAGAGTTCACGGGGTCAGGGCGCGGTCACTGCAGTGCGCTGCTGGTTTAGTGGGTGACACCAAACGCGCAAATAACGACGAGCGCTATGACGATCCACTTTGGCCGCAGCTTCATTGCCAACATTGAATCGTGGCGCCAAGGGTGATCAGCGCTGAAGAGTTATTCACCTCGCCACTCCCTTCCTAAGATCAACAGTTGTAGCAGCAGCTTATCTCGGCTACGCTGTCGGCACGTTGTTAAGCACTCGGTCTATTTGATGACTCATTCAAATGCCATTCCCACAAAACAGTAGAGTTCAGATACTGAAGCGACAAGAGGTTACATTCGATGTTGGCTTATAAACTGTTTTGCACAGGTGCACGTTGTTCTTGTTTTTTTCGCTGAGAACTTTACCCGAAGTTATACTGAGTGTATAGCAAAACGTGTGCTCATAGTTAGGCCATGTTCGCAAAAAAAAAAAAAAAGTGGTGTCATGGCGCCACCGAGCAGTGTCGTGACACCACTAAACGGACCGGTGAGCCGAACCAATGGCGGTTAGCTGTGAGAAACCAATCACTGTATGCCACGAGTGAAGGCTCGCGGTAACGCCTGCCAGCTCATTCGCCGTCAATGACAGTCGAGAGCACAGCCGTGTGACGCGAACATATTTTCACGCCGCAAGCGTCATAAATTTTTATTCGGTTTTTTAACGGGCTGAGCTCGCACCGTCCTTTTGCGCAGCAGTGGCAAGGACTCCCAGAATCGCCTCGTCCACGAGAAGAACCCGTTCGGCCGTCGCTGGCAAGATGGAGTTGCCAAAGGCCAAGAATGACCAGCCTCCAGAAGTCAGGACAGGACCACAGACAAGGAGTCAAACCAGGGTCGCGAGTCTGGCAGCAACGGGCAGTGCTACGGTCAGGACAGCTCCGACCCTGGACGATGCCGACACAAGGGAGTCGCCAAGCATCGGGAATGACCCACCAGAAGCCAGGACGGCACCATGGACTACGAATCCGAGTTGGGCCGCAGGTCTCGCGGCAAGGGGCGGTGCTACGGCCAGGATGTCTTCGATCGTGGACGGTCCGCCCACGGTGGACATCCCCACGGAGAGGACAACTGGTTCACGGTTCAACGAAAGTTCCCGTGGTTGGGCATTGGCCAACACGAGTGGCGGAGCTCCGTCGCCTACCAGTGGCTCGGGAAGCACGAGCCCCATTTGGTCGACCAGCAGCGCGTCGTCGTCGTCGTTCGGAAGATGGCTTGCGGAGGAGCAAGAAGCCGATCCGAAAGAGGCCGCCACGGAGGAAGCCATGACGTCGAAGGCTACTTATGAGGATGCCGTCTTGACGGACGCTGCTTGGGCGGACCCCGCTCTGGCGGATGCGGGTTTGACGGGCGCCGTCTGGACGGCCGCTCTTTTGACGGACGCCGCCGCTTCGACGAGCGCATCCGCTTCGATGGGCCCCTCCACTTCGACGGACGCCGCTTCGACGAACGCCACTTCGACGAATACTACTACGCCGACGCGGACCGGCTTGGTGGATGAAGGCTTGGCGAATGCAGGGACTGACATGATTTCAAGGGAGGCGACTCTGGCCGATGCCGGCTTCACGGGCCTACCTCCGGCGGGTGATGATTTGAGGGAACCTGTTCATAGGGGAACTGTTTCAACGTATGTGGTCGTTCAAACTACAACCGGCACTGCAAATTCCACGGATATGCCCATAATATGACGGTCATGGCGCATGCGAGGAACGTAATAAGGGCTACGGACATGACGTGCTTTTTGGATGTGTCCCGTCGCGATCAACCGTTCTATTGATTACGCCTTATATTTTTTATTCGCGCTTTGTTCCGAAGCATGTCAAGCGTAGAATTGAAGATGTCTTGATTTTATATCTTAATCTTCTTAATAAAAAAAGTGAACGAATAATAAAGTCTTGTGGATAACGGGAAAACAAGTTTTAAACTGTGCTCATTCGTGGATGCCCTTGTACGAACACCGTCTTGCTATACCGAAGAAAGGCGCAGGGTCAAACCTGGAACATCGTCAATGACAAGAGCTGAGGTAAGAACAACTCTCCATGTAGCCGTTGAGCGCGAGCGATGTGTAGAAGTGACAGCACTGTGCATGCTGGCCTCGCCGACAGCTTTCTGTGGCGGAAGAAGTGAAGAGCGCGCTTGCGTAACTTTGATCGGCTGAGCGCCCGTGCGCCAATAGCTCTGGCTACGTCACCATAAAGTTGTCCGTCAGTACAGACTTTTCCAATGTTTACAAAATCGCGGTCCACCGTGCGATCTTCAAAGCCCAGCACGTGCGTGTTCGTCGCTTCGGAAAGCGAGCAAGGAACGTGCCATACCCACGAGCGCTCCCGATGGCACCGGCAATACGCTCTTTTTTGGCGACGTGAGCGATCGAAAGCGTCGCAGTGGTCGGCCCACCACAATTGGCCGAGTGCTGACTACGACGTCAGCAAAGGATGTCTCATCGACGGGTATAAGAGGAATGTGAGAACTTCAATTTTGACGGTGTGGGCAGTGCTGCATTGAGAGCGCAATGATTTCAGGCTTCCACCATGCCCATTACAAACACCATCGAACTTGTTGTTCAAAAGGTAATGACGTCACGAAAGGGAACCGAACGAGGGCGCCACCGAAACATCTCGCCGCTAATAGACGATTGCAAGTGAGGCCACTGGCCGCCGCCATGTCTCTGCTCGTGCGGCGAAGCCCGCGCATTTGCAAGGTAAGCTATGCTCACGCGCAAGCTGCACGTGCTTGCACTCGTGGGGCACCAGTCGGGGCGCCATGCTTGCAATCCACCTTTTGGCGAATGTGTGCTGCCACCTAGACACGCGACCGGGTTCGAGACTAAGCGGCAAGCAAAAAACGCGCCCGCAAGGCCTCTCCCACCCGTTCAACACCCAAAACGTCATTGAGCCGCTGTGACCTAGATGCGGCTCCCCCAAACTCGCCTTTGTCCTGTAGTAACGTAGAGAGTTAAGCTAGCTGGTAGTTAGAAGACATATGCATACCTAAAACAGCACACAAGCACAGCTTCGTCGTTCTCTCCCTCTCACAATAGATAAGTGGGAAGTCAGCGCTCTCTCCTGTGTTCTATCCTCTTCGTCCTGTGCTTATGCGTTGTTTTAGGTATGTCGCCTTGGTCCCCACCGTGGGTTATCTTCTGCCCCGAAGTCGACACAAAGAAACCATCTTCCCTCTCTGCTCAGCCAGAAGCAAGAGAGAGAGAGAATACTAGAACCATTTACTCTCGAAACGATGTTTCTACAAAAGGTCCATTGTCTATATACCTTTCCAAAAAAAAAAAATCTCGAAGTACACCTAAGCACTTCTTATGAGTTGTGACTGCGAAAGCATGCATGCCGCTCATCCGCTCCCTTTGTCGTCTGCTGCGTACTTTTCGTCGCCGGTCAGCGCGCGCGTGCTCCCCTCGTAACCTTGGACGCTCCGTGTTAACGGCGCGCTGATGGACACCCAGCGCCATGGGGTGAGCGGCCGTGGAAACAAACGAGCGCAGCGGCCAATGGTAGCCTCGTCGACGCTTGCCAGCCAATGGAACCGAAGGCAATCGCGGAAACTAGGTGCCGTTTTCGAGCTTCAAATACATGACGTCAGCTCGCTCCATGGGACCAATTAATGCATTCGCATTAAAAGGGCTCCTGGCCAGTTGCATTTTCAGTGTTCGAGCGTATATAGCGTAATTTACTCGCTTTCCGGAGCGACGGACACGCGCGTGTTGGGCTAAGGAGATCGCACGCTGGTCTGAGGACTCGTATATATTGGAATGGTGTATAGGGGGTATTCCCTGCAGACGCCGTAATTGAGGGCGATGTTTAGAGCGTGTGCTCAAAACGAGCTCGCATTACTAGGCTGCGAAGACCGGCAATCTTGATGGTGCGGAATGCACGTTGGCAAAGATCTGCGGAAGCTCGCTATCAGCACGCACTCAGCAGGTCCGCGCCCACAGACATGGCCGCCAGTGAATACTCGGGAGTATTGACAGGCGGCCACCTCGAACAGCAACGCAGACAGGTACCAAAATTCCTTTCCTCACTAAATAGTAGCCCAGGCAATGGGACCTAGCTGTGGCTGGACACTCGCTAACACACACAAAAAGAAAAAAAGTTATCGCTAGAATATTTCGTGCCACTCGTAATTACTTTAGAGCAGCGCCGATCTGCGCTAATCAATCGGCTTAGAACTACAAAAGCCAGAACCCCTCCGTGAAAGAAAAAACTTTCAGACTTTCCACTTTGGTGAAGAAGGAAGACCAGCGAAGCTGTACTATGCAAAGTAATGGCCGGCCGCAAGTCGGCAAGTCAGAGTGGAAAGGCTGCCGCTATCTATGAGCGACGGCGACAACCAGATACGTGGCTTACCGCCGTCGCTCATAGATGGCGGTAGGTGTCCAGAGTTCGGTGTCTTCAACTTTTTGCGGAGGACGCGATCCAGGGGAAACTAGCCCTTAAAGGACACATGCAAAGGAAAAAAAAATTTTTTTTAGACAGCTTAGATGGAAAAAGGATGTCATAAAACGATTTTACAACGAAGAAACAAAATTTTTAGAGCTATATTTACGGCGCTATACGAATTTGTAGTTGGCGCTCGCGGGAGCCGCCGCTGGTCACGTGGTAGGCCCGCGCGCCGCCGCGCTGCGTCGCCGCCGCACGCTGAGCGTTGTGCGAACGCCGCTTCAACGCGTTTCTCCACGCCGCCGTCGCCGCCGCCGCACAAGTTCGTCTGCTTCGGGGCGCCGCCGCCGTCGTCTGACCGGCGCACAGGTCTATTACGTCTGCTTGCGCTTTTTCAGGAGTTTCCTTTGGGCTCTAAAAGTTACTTATTCGTCTTGGTTTTTTGTTATACTTCAAACAAAGATGAATAAGTTACTTTTAGAGGCCATAGGAAGCTTCCGAAAGAGCGCAAGCACCACGTGATAAATAAAGACCAGTCACGTGATAAATACAGACCACTTTTCCGCGGTGCCCGCGGGCGCCAACTACAAATTCGTTTTACGCCGTAAATATAGCTCTAAAAAAATTTTTTCTTCGTTGTAAAATCGTATTAGGGCGTCCTTTTTCCATCTAAGCCGTTTAAAAAAAATGTTTTTTTCCTTTGCATGTGTCCTTTAACAGCTCCGCTGTAAAAAGGGGGGTGGAGGTGGCCCTTTCGAACTTTGGATAATCCAACCCCGACAATTGACTGCCGAATGTTGAGGACGCGCTCGACACGAAGCAGCCAATCAGGCAGAGGCAAAAATGTGCCGTCACGGCGCTCGCGCATCGCCTTTGTACGTTTCCTATCGCTGATTGAACGGATCGCACGCGGTGAATGAATGCGGCGTGAACCCGAGCATTATTCCAGCGCGTGACTGGTTCAGGCAAACCTAGAAAGACAACGAGCGCACGAGCGCAGTGACGATGCACTTTTTGGTGCTGCTCGAATAACTCCGCATAGGATCCTAGCGTTGGCTGCCGTCGGACTGAAAGCGATACGGGAGAATACCACCCTCTGTATCGGGAGGCGGGTCTCTGCCCTCCGCGGTTATCGGCGTAAACAAACAGAGCCCGGGTGGCCCGAGGCCCGAGTCCTGTCACACGGGGAGGCTGGGCCTGGGACGTTTCCCGAGATCGCGGCACTTTGGAGGGCGACCACCCCACGAGCCCCGCTCGCGTTTTGAACGCTGCTCATGTGCAGGCGAAGCTCGGCCCATTGTCTCGCACGGAGCGCGCCGACTCCCGGAAGAGATCTCGCGGCGCGGGAGTGGGACGCTTTTAGCTGACTCCGTTAACCGCATCTGCATACAACCAGCGGCGTCGGAACAAGGGAGGCAAAGTATGAAAGGGGAAGGTGGCATCGTCCCCTTCCTTATCCGTTTTCCTTAAAAAAAAAAAAAAAGACTGGCGTTTCGACGTCATTGAACACTCTCGGCTCCTCTTCTCCCTCAGTTGCTCGTCGTATATCGACAAACACACTGTTTACTACAAACAAGCCCGCGTTTGCCGTACGCACCGTGCACTGCGCATGCGCATAAGACAGATTTACGCGCGATGTAACGTCCGCGCGTGCACCGTGCCGTAAAAGCACGTGCCACCGCAGCAAAGCGCCATGTCAAAGCCGCGTGTTGGTGCATACGGTCACGCGGAAGACCGGAACGCCTATGGTCGAAGCGGAAGAGGAGATCGGCCTGCCTTTTCTTGCTCTCGGTGCAGCGTTGCATTTACACGCGCATGTTTGGAGGAACGTGTCAGCGTCCCTGGCTCACGTGTACGACTAATTATACGCGTGGTTCGTTTGTGCGTGTGTGGGCGCGTTCGTGTATCTGTGTTTTGCGCGTCCGTGGTTCGTTTGCGTGTGTACACAAGACGAGCCAGAGTTTGTCTGCCCTCGGGGGAAAAAAAAAAAAGAAAGACCCCAATTAGTCGGCCATCTGTTAACGCGCGCTCTGCAAAGTTTACAATGTTTAAGGTTTATGTTAACGCGCGGCGTCACTGGCAGCGGCCGATTCAGCTGCGCCGAGTGGTGTTGACGCAGTCGAACCGCCAAATATTTTGACGCCATATAACGACGAGCCGCCTGGACTCGGCTCGAAAGCGTACCTCAAAATCAAACTCAGCCGTCGTTGCGCTAGATCACGTGCGTGTTTACTTCACTTTTGTATATTCATTCGAGCTCTTCTAAATTGACCTCGAGAGAAGAGTGTCATCTGTCGCGGAAGAGTTTCGATTGAAACCATTAGAACGAAATCCCGCAACGTCGGCGAACCGCAC